GCAGAGGTATTTGTAAGTTTCTCTGGATAAGGGTGGAAATTAAGAAAATATAACAATAGAGAAGTAATGATATTAAAAATACAAATTCACAATTTTGATTCACAAACGCTGGCAGTAGGGTAATTCAGGTCCTAAAGGTTAAAGGTATCATAAAAATAGTCAAGAAGTGGATGCCATCTTCCCTGTCTTGTAATGTTGAATATGTGCACATTGGAAATGTAATGTACAAGAGAAATACGGAAATAGCTTGTGTTCTTACTGATCCAAGGATCTCACTTGGATAGTAGTGAAGGTATACTAGGCAATGGGCTTTAATAACATGATCTGGTACCTCAATCCATTCAGATTAATGTGTGCACAGACTTTTCTCTGTGCATTGCTTGGATGTACTGTATGCCACAGCACCGATACAAATAATTGATCTTTTCTATAAAACTGCTGGAAAGGTTCGTCAATATCTTTCACTGAGTTTAAGACAGTGACTGTAGATTGAAATCCAGTTCCTCTCTGAGCTACTGTATATTACTGTTAGTTTTAGTGACAACAGACCAGTGTGTAAACATTTTAATTGTGCATCATGTGTATTTTCTGTCCAGTACCCATCCAGGATATATTTCCTATAATATAAATGGGAGTTGGAAGTGATGTGGTCTGCAATTTCCTGTTTACTTACTTCATTCTTACATGTCCTATTCTACATGCTGTCTAGTTCTTTGTGCTCTCCTTCCTCCTCCTAGTCCTGTTATAGATGAAGTGTATTTACCTTTTGCAAAGAATTCTTCAAATTTAAACAGTATGTGTTGTCTAAAACAATTTCCATGAAATAATATTTTCGGCAATGAATGAGAGAAAGAAATGTAGAAATATGCCAATATGTTCCACTGCCTGAAATGCACATGGCTCTATAAGAGCACTAAAAAAGCTGGGGTTATGGCGCTCCTCCATATTAAAGTTAACACTCCTAAATCTATAACATCGGTTTTCTACATGATAACCAGCATCAAGACCCTCGGTAATATCATGCCAACTAACACGTTTGCTGGTTTGGGTCTGCTCCATTTTGTGCTTGGTGTTCTGCTGCAGCAATGTCTACCTTTTAAAGCTGCTCGTTTAATAAGGAAGGGCTTTGCACATCACTCCCTTGGCTCTTTCTCCAGCACTAATTTCTGATAATTTGGTTGAGCAGTTTTTGGTTATCTAGGTATCACAGTAATTGAAATTACAATGTCACAAGAATACACACCATGATTAACAAAACAATAACTGTGCCTTTGGAGTGTAAGAGCTCGATTTTAATTAACTTAATATAATGTATAAAGTTCTATGTTCATGGGTACATTCTCAAGGGTATACACGAGAGCACACATGTCTCATTAAAACCCTGTATATTGATCTCCAGGAGAGGCAGGTGACATCACTGATTCAGAAGTTCAGCTCTCTGCCTCCTTCAATAACACCTGGGAGGTTGTTATGTCAGCAATACAATCTGCCTGCAAAAGTAGGACTGATATCAGTTAAATAGTCTTTCTCATTTCTTAAGCATTTTTACACATATTTATATATGTGGTCTGTCTAAAACTCAGTTTCAGAATTTGAAAGAATGTTCAGTTTCCAAAAGCAGCTCTGTGTATACTTTTAAGGTTTCCTGTAAGTCCTTTAAATTTCACAAAAATATCCAAACTGATCCCAAGCTAGAGATAAATCCTGGTATCACCTCACCCTGTTATAATGTGTTAAAGCTCTGTGATGATACACTAAAGAAGTGGATTCAAACTGAGATTCAACAGCAGCCGGTCTCTTCCCCTCATACAGAGAGATTAATTGATTAACTCCTTCTCATATAGAGTTTGACAGGACACAGCAGGCACCACTATGGAAACAGGTAATTCTGACCGAGAGCAAAAAAGCACTTTTAATTTATTATTTATACCCATTTGACCTTAAAAAAGGAAATGCAAATGGTGCTAAAAAAAAGATCATTCAGGCTTTTAAATGTCAAATGCCACAATTAAGATTCATTATTATTAGATCTCCGCAGGTTTTCGTTTCCAGCTGAGGGGTAAAAATACCCTAATTAACATTTGGTTAATTAGCCCATGCCCTCATGTCTCTATTCATGGCAGAAACAGAACTTGAGGGTCACTAATGACTAATGATATAAAACTCCGATAAGAAAGAAATGTTCCTTCTGTTCAGGTTTGATGACAGACAGTCGATATTTCAAGAACACTAAATCTCACAAAACCTGTTTGTGCAAAGTTTCTGATCTGTCATTACAGATAATGCCTGACAACTCCCCCTTACCCCCAGTGGACAGATTCCAAGTCAGACTGAAAGCAGATTGTTTCATCTGGGGCTTGACAGTCTCTGCTCGGATAAAAAGAAATTCTCTCAAAGGCTGTGACTTCAGAAATCAAGGATTCATTCACCTTTAGCGAACTTCAGCAGTTGGGAAGCACTCCAGAAAACAGTTTAAAAGGAGCAATATTAACTTGAGGAATTTAAATATGTGGAAGAAAAAAGAATGTGGAATATGTTTTTGCAAAAATGTGTATAAAATCTGAGAAAGTATATAGTTTTAACTAGTATCTTAACACTGTGTCCCAAGTTACATTCAATTAAACACAGTGCAGTCAGTGAACCTCGTAAAGTGTTTGGGCTCTTTGTTCACAATCAGATATTCTCTTGGGTGCATTCTCAAAATAAATATTACAATCCAGGAAGACAGGAACAGATTAATCCACAACCATGCTGAGATTTTGCTGCTGTTGTAATTTTTTATCTCTTTTTCATCTGTCCTCACTGGAACCTGCAGTGCGACAGCACTGAAATTTTAATGGTCTGACTCTGTTTGAAGCTGCGATACAGAGATAAACTTAAGCACATTTTCTGGCCTTTCCGTGAGGGCTGATTGTGAAGCGGCAGACCCAAAATATTCATTTCTTGTACATGTCAATTTTAAATAAGTTATGTGAACTGCAGGATTCCTACTCTAAGATACACCAAATGACACAATAACCAGAAAAGATCACAGTTCAGTGTGAGAGGACTGTGATTTGGGCCACTGGGGTCATAGCTTAATGTGGTTAACAGTTAAAGTCGGGAAAAGCAAATCTGATCGATTCAAACAGTCAAACCAATGCTTGCGATAAAATACACATTGTTGTTTTATATCGCCGCCTGCTGGAAAACGTCTGGCAATACAGCAGTTATTTCTTTATGTGTCTAATCTCACTGACAATTGCATCAACAATCTGTATATTTTCCTAGATAATGTATATATAATGTAATCTTAATTATATCTCAAATAATGCATTGAAGGAGCTACACTGTGTTCAACATTTTAGTTTTTTACTCACTTTAATTTTTCTTTAGTGAAAATGATTGCCAGTTTTATTGAACAAAAGTACTTTCTGTTGAAAGTACGCTCACACCTGAAGAAGGCTCCACGGCCGAAACGCTGTGTTCTCTTTCTTCTTTTTTCAGCATGGAATAAACCTATTACTTGTTCCTTTACTTTCTGTTGATATGAATTGCTATAAACATTTTTAAATGACAAAATAAAAACAAATCCTATATCATGATTTTAATTGGATAACAGATCTGTAGGTCGATTGCCCAGATGGTTTAATAAAATAATAAGTTTTAGCAGAAAAAAATAATCCATACAAATTGTTTAAAAAAGACAGAATCCCATTAAAGAAAGGGAGTGAAATAAATTGCAATGATAGGTAAAAGATACTACATAGGAATCTGATTCGCGTTTTCAAAATCCTAAAAGGCACCACAAAGTCACCCACTGGACGTCTTCACAAACATTAAAACACATTAACCACTAGAAGCAGATGCTTCTCATTTGTAACCTTCATTACGGAGGTATATCCTCATCCCAGATCTGAGCTGAAAATAAAGAGCTTTAAAAAAAAAGTTACTTGATGCATCTCCTAACTCAGATTAACTCTGCACAACGAAGCTGTTGAGAATGAAATACAACTACATGCTTTACTGACAACTAGTGGTAACATGCTACTACTGCATCGGTGCTGTCATCTGTTCACTTGCACCACTGTCCCCGTCTGGATACTTGAGGTTTGGAGATCCCCGATGATGATTGTTAGAGTAGTTTACAACACGTACATACATCCCATACTAGGCTCAAACAACATTTTTTTTTCTTATTAATGAAACAATTGTATTACGCCTATCGATTACAATCTTCTTTTTCCAATGTATTTCAAGATACAGACAGCCATGTCGGAGACACTATCTAGGAAGAGACTTGAATTGCAGTGGTTAACGAAACAGCCTTTATAGGTGGCAACCTTCAGAGACCTTCTCAGAGGCTTCAATCAGATATAATAAAAATACGATTCAAGTTCCTTGCGCTCAGTGGCTGAATAACTAAGCTGTAGGTCTTACTTGATGATCTCCTTTCATCTTGGATGGCCTGACAACAAACTTTCGCAAAGCTCTTTGGTTTCTGCGCTGCGTTCCGGTGACCAAGGGTAACTTTGTTTTCCTCAGCAACATAGATACTGTGATAAATCTGGATGATATTCTTTGTGGAAATAAAATCTGCGGTAGATACTACTATACACAGATTTTAGGAGGGACGTCCTTAAGAAAACTCGTCTTGTTCCAAGTGTGTACAGGTCTACGTAAAAGAACCTGGTAACCATTTGTAGAAAACACGACTGTATTAAAATACACCATCTTCGTTAGTTTAGCTGCCACGCATAGGATTAAATCTGAAAGACTGACATGCTCAGCCTGAAGTAAAATTACCACTTAGACCAGAGCACTTCGAAAACGTAGCTGATCAATAATCGAAGCTGAACGATCTATCGAGTAGTCGATTTTTCTCCTTCTGAGAGTAGTTTCCTTGTGTATTTAACTGCTCTTTGATTTGCTCAATTCATAATTTATTACGGACACGGTCACGAGCGTTATTCACGGTTAAGGATTTCCGGTTCACTTATTCACCAGGGCTACTGTTCGCTTAATGGAGGACAAAACTAGACAAACCTGGAGTCTACTGGAAAGAGCCAGTAGCACAGAGGAGGTTTGGGTAATTTTTGAGAAATGCAACGTGATATCCAATCGTAGGGCCCCCTGTCTTTAGGACAAACCACGGCTTTGCGTTTTGCTTCGCGTCACGTGTGATAAATCCTCTTCTGTAACCCTTTGCGACACAAGGAAGGAAGAGAGAGAGAGGTGACGGAGTCATTTTTGACAGCGTGTACAATTTGACTCGTTTTATTTCAGTCGCTTCTGCATACAAAATGTGCCGGGTAGTCATTATTCTGTCGGTGGTGTGGTTGTTTTTAGCAGTGGGTAAGTAGGAAAACTACTTCAATTACCAGTGTACTCCAGCGTTTTGCTTGTCGCCAGACACTTTCACTTTGTTGTGTGTTGTGTATTGCGGGTGTAATGTTGGCGATTGTAATGTAACGGCCAAGACGTTGAGCTCAGCTGCGTGACCCGACGCTGGCGTTATCGGGGTATATAAAAGAGAGATTTATTGACGACTGATACGTGCCGATTTACTGTTATATCGATGGGATTTAAATCGATGGGATTTTATTTCCGGTCGAAGCTGCGTTTAAGCTGGTGTACAAAACCTGTAAATAGGCGGCCTGTTAAAAAAACAATTACAATTGAAACAATGAAAGTGTGCAAGCTGAATGCTTGCTTAAGTTCGTCGACAATGGCCCTTGTTCCGTTTTGTCGTCGTTCTTCAAACCCTTGTAAAACGATTCTAAACCGGGTAAATTCTGATGAAATGAAAGGGATGCACCGCAGAATGTCGACTGTAATATATGGATGTTACATTGTGGCAACGACAATATCACGGTTGTTAAAAATGTGATCCGGCTTCTTAAAGTATTACCTGACGTGAAACAGCTTTCCTGAAGTGCGTAAATATCATAGATTCGTTATGTGCTTACTTACAGTATATATGATTTTAGTATTAGTAGTTCAGGTGGGTGGTTGCGTCAGCATGCGTAGCCTGCAAAGGAACAAGTAATACTGTAGGTTTATTCCATGCTGAAAATAGAAGAAAACACAACGTTTCGGCCGTGGAGCATTTTTTAGATGTGATTTTAGTATTAGAACCTTATATCCTCTATATATGCCGCATTAGCTGAAAACAAGACTACTGTGATGGAGATAGTGTTACATATACTGTAGTATTGAGCTTGGTTCTACCTTTTGTGTAAACTTTCTCAAAGCATTTCGAGAGTGCCCCGTGTCTTTAGGAAAATAAATCTGAAAAAAGATCATTCCTGAAACTCGTTGTACTCCACCATGTAATTTTAGAGTCTGCTGTGTACTTTTTCTATTATATAGTTTATATAAACTTGTGAAAAATCTACGATTTAGCATTGCAGGTCAACATCTCTCAATGCTGGAGTGATCGCTGATCACTTTTAATATTGCACTAATGAGTCTGTGATATGAAAAGTTAAAAGAGGACAGTAAGATGTTTGGATCTGTGGATTACAGTGCAGAACTGCTATAGTACATGAATTAGATAATAAACCTGACTACAATACAACAACTTGTACAGATAAGAACTCAAATAACAGATATATCTTCAACTGCAGGGCAGTATCATTGATTTACAGTTACGTATCAGACGTGTGCAGTAGGAGTTTTAAATGACATCTGGAGTTCTTCTCATAACACAGGGATTTAATTGGTTTGGACTAGTCGGTCTTTAATTGTTTTATTTTTGTTTGTTTCCTGAATCCATTGTATCCAGAATGTGTTTTTGGTTCATTTAGCCTGTTACAAAGTGTAAGAAGTTTATGTATGATTCTTTTTCTTCTTAAATGCAGCAAGCACTGGAAACGCAGCAGATGTAAATTCAAGGAACAACCAAAGTACAACTTCCAAAGGAGAAATTGGAAGTCCAAGCGTAGGTCAAAAAACTAGTAGTACATCTCATCAGGATCAGAGCCAGACAATCGACCAAAATGCCGCTTCACATGTTGAGTCCTCTACGACTGTTCAGACAGCTGTGGTTTTCAGTGGTCCCAGCACAAGTGCCAACAGGTCCGGTAATCCATCTGTGGCAACAAAGCAAACACAAGATTCTGTGGCAGAAAAACCTAGAACAACGAACATTCAGGAACAAAGCGAGCAGGGTGGAAATAGCCCTGAAGGGGACAAGGACAAAACCACAAACCCAGATTCTGTTCAAGACCCTCCAAACAAAGACCCACAAAGTAAAAGTACTAGTGTGCCTGACAAGCAGACAACCTCTGAACCCATATCAGACACAGAAAAGACGCAGAGCACTGAAGAGAAAAATTCTGGTGCTGCACCTGGAACCAAGATGGTTACCAGTACCGAACAAAGACACCCTGATACAGCAGAGAAGCAACCAGAAATAGTCAGTACCCGAACGCCCACTGCCCCGATGACTGGGGAGTCGCAAGATAATGATCAGGACAAGAAGCCTACAGAGGCCCAAGAGGAAGGAGAAGGAGATGAAGGAGAGGAAGGAGAAGAAGATGAAGGAGAAGTAGAAGATAAAGGGGAGAAGACCGATGATGTAAGTGTCGATGATTCTAAAGATAACTCTCGGCTCAACAACCAGGATAGCTCTGGCCTGCAGCCCAAAGATGACTCTGAGAGCAGCCACTTCTTCGCCTATCTGGTATCATCTGCTATGTTGGTGGCCGTGCTGTACATCGGCTACCACAACAAACGCAAGGTAAGGCTGATGTCTGCTCCCTCTAACCCCCCTGCCCTTCTTTACCTTGGCCAGCTGCAGGTAGTGTGTTGCTAGTCAACCAGATCAAGCACCAGACAGCCTGCAGATTCCCCTTGCAGTTGGATTTGCCGCAACTGATGTTTAGCTTTTGTGTTGCACTGAGCTGTAGGAAGCCCCAGCGAGCTGCTATGAGTTACACTTAGAATCACAAGCTGCAAGAGCTTCAGCAAGGATTGGTAACAGTCAGCAATTCAAAATCTGGCTCATTTCTAAATGCAATCTGATATTGCACCTTACTTAACATTCCAATAGGCCTATAGTGTCATCAGCACAGATTTGGTAGATCCTGCCTAACTGGTAGTGTGGTGTAGGAGGACCTAGTCACATTAACTACCTGAACTATTAGGAATACTGGAGATGGGACTGTGCCATAGTTTGATAACATCATTGACTTTCCATAATATGGTCTGTAAGATACTTTTCTTGCCTTATTTTCATTTGTGTCAAAACCTCCTTCCCCAGTAGAGCAAACTGACTCAAACAGGCATTTCCCCTCACATGTCTCAAAATAACCTTTCTTCACTGCTGAAAAATACCACTGCAGTTAACACATTATGTAGTTAATAAACCCTGAGTCAACTGGCAAGCACTGAACACTGTTGCTCATGTGGGTGGAGACTCTTAATTCTCTTAACCAGTCTCTCAGAAAAAACAATCTTTTGGTCTGATCTTAACAAGAAACTAGATACCTTGTCCAGTTTTCTTACTTAATTACTTTATTGTCCCAGGTGGGAAATATGCTTTGCAGGTAGGTGAGAAATGTAATACAACACATTTAACACAACACAAACCCATTGGCAAATAAGAAACGTACATGCAGAAGATGAGAGAAGCAAGTTAGCAGCTTAAGTAAACACTTAGAAAAAAAAAAAACAAATAAATTGTGTCATCAGTGTGCGAGAGATACATAAGATACATGTATGATGAAAAAATAAAAAGTAAAATATACAGTACAATCAGTTGTCGATTTAAGCAGGTTAATAACATGGGAATAAGGGATACCTTATTTCTATTGCACATAAATCTGGGTAGTCTAAATCAACAATCTGATGGAAGGAGCTCAGAAACACTCAGATTCCCTGTTTGTTTCCTAGTTAAAAGCCTACTTGAGACTAGCTGCATTAGTGTTCTGTTTGGCAACCTCTAGCATATCTGGCACTCTGAACCTAGCATGGACAGCTCTGAGACACAGCTGCTCCAGTACACAGGTACTATACAGGAACTCCTTACTTGTCTGCTTATTGACATTTTGAATTTGTTTCTCTCTCTGTCCCAGATCATTGCCTATGTTTTGGAAGGAAGGAGGTCAAGAACGTTACGACGGCCCAAATCAAATGAGTACCAGAGGCTTGAACAGAAGGTAACAATTTTAAAGGACAGTCTGCTTCATCAAGACCCCTCTCAGCACCCCAATCACTGTCTTTCTCACAAAACTACTGATGAATTCAGTGACCAGTTACCAGGTTAAATTTCTAACCCATTTGCTTCTCAGATCATAGTTCTTGTGTGTTAGCAAGGCTGTAGTGACTATAGGTCACTAGACATTTCGGTTTAGACACCTGTTTGTCTTTTGTTGCAGAGTTTTTGTTCAGGCTGAAATAAGGCTATATATACAATTTAAAGGCATTCATATAAAACCATTAAACATGATTGTTCATGAAAGTTATGCTTGTAGCTTTCTATATTCAAACATGCAAGTAATCTGCATGTTTCAATCATCTGGACATTTTCTTGACCGTAATAATTTGTGAAGTGTTTTGAAAAAATTAAGGGCAGTAGATACTATCTCTCCTACGTGCTAGACTAAATTAATGTAATAAAAAGTGGTACACGCACTATTGGAAACCTATGCAGTGTGGAACTCGAGCCATAAGTATTTTTTAAAGCAGTTTTGTTTTAAATGTTTTTTTTATCGAACATTAACATCTTAGAGATATCACGCCAAAGGAACTCTTGATTTACAAAGAATAAACAAATACCTTAACAGAACCAGAGAACATTTAAGTTCCTGTTTTTTATTTAATACTAAGTGATGACTGAGATGACAGCACTTCTAAGGCTGAGGAGTATATAATTGCTGTTTTTAATTTACACTGTGTGGTTAAATAATTAGTCTGTTTTATATCAAAACATTGTGGTTATGCCCCAGTATACACCTGTACTTAAATATATACACGAATCAACATGCATGCCTTCTTCTAAATGTTTTTTTTCTTTAGTGCACTTTAGTGTATTGTTTGTATATCTTGGACAGTACTGTAACTTGGGATTAATATCTACATCACCTCTCGCACTAATCCTCCATAATTTGCCCCTCCTTCCCCCAGCTGTGAAACACCCACTGATGTGAAGACAGAGAAGACCTTTCTGCAGATGATGTGAAGGAAGAAGAGACAGAAACGTTGCAATCTGAACATTTTTTACATTTTATTTAATGCACTTTGAACGATCCGCAATTTTTCAACTTGCTTCGTGCTTCTTGCTTGATTAGGTTATAATTTTTTAAGCAAATCTTAATGAAAAGAAGAACCGCTTTTATGTATTTTTTTGGCTGCATTCTCGTTGCATGCCGTGAAGAGGATAAAATTGCCTTATGCCAGGAGCTTGCTAACAAAACTTTCGACTCAGTGCTGGGAAGTAGACACCATGGCAGGACTCCTGGGTGTCTTTCCTGTGATAAGACATCTTATTGGCAGTACAGTGCACGAATGTAGTGTGTATAAGCTGGACAGAGAAAACTCAAACCATGACTTACAAAGCAGATGAAAGTAAATATTACATTATTTAAAGATGCCAGGAACCGAGATCTAACTGAGTAAGCTAGCAGAAAGGCGGTCTGCCTTGATGAGAGTTAGAACAGATGGTTTGTTTCGTCTCGTGGGTTACAGCGTTTGTCTGCTGATGAGAGAGATGTAAGAAGTCTTGTGATTTTTATTTTCCTCAAGAACATAAACAAGGGGCTGTAGACTGCTCACTGGTTTGTGATCTTATCTGTTTGCTATGGGACTAAATTGCACTGACACCTTCAAACTGAAAGGAGAAAAAAGAGAGAGCATGTGATCATTTCTGAGCTGGAAGCCAGTCTTCTAATCTTCTACCACAGATTACTTCATCTGTATTTCCCTCTGTGTAATCTCTTCCTTGTGGCAGTGCCTGCAACTCTTTATGGTACTTTACATCTTGTGTGGATTTCAACCCAAAGTGATATTTCTGCAAGACGTTCACAAGACAGAGTATACTCTGATGTATTTCCCTGTGCACTTGGGTACAGCTAGTCTGCTTTTGAAAAGCTCCTTGTCCTGTTATTCTCTTGCAAGGAACTCGGATGACAGGCATTTTAACCAGTATCTCGGTAATGCATGGGTGAAATACAGATGCTTTAAACTGTTCTGAGATGTGGCTCTCAATGGATTTATTTCATATTTGCTAGAAACCATGGCTTGATTTTTAACTGTGCTGCTATACAAGATCCCAGACATTTTTTAGAGATAAATGCCTCTCAAGAGCACCTTGTGAAAGGATTGAAACCTAGTAGTGTGTGAATACTTGAAAAAGTCTTGCTTTTTTGTGATTTATCTGACCAACCTTCTACAACCACTATGATACAGAGCCTTTGTCAAAATGAGCACCTTTGCCATAGCATAATTAGCATAAGATGTATGACTGTGACACAATGCTAAGCACAAAGTGCAGCAGACAGACATTTCCATACCCAGCAGTTACTTGGTTCACCTGATCATTCAGAAGACTGCTGCTGGTATAATGAGTGCAGAACGCCTGTGAGGAATACTTGAGAATTCTGTTTTTGTGAGGGCTTATTGGGTAATCTGGCCAAGCCCTTGACAATTCTCATTCAGAAGCTGAGTGAGGAGTTTCTAAGGGAGCTCAACCACTCTCAGATGCAAGAGTAACATGCTGTAGCCTGGGTCCTAGCTGGTGACTATCATTTCTCTGTGGCTGCCAACAGTCAGCTCAGGACCTCCAATGTTGTAGATGGGATGAGTTGGCCAGGGATCTCTTGGTTCTATGACTCTTTCAACCTCCCCAAATGCCCTGAGTAATCTATCTGCCTCTGCTTATTCAGCACTGAACCCGCTGTGTAATAAGAGGGTTTGAGGGTCAGATTAGAATGAGGTGTGTTTTCCCTGATGTAGAGTAGGTACAAGGGGCATCATTAGGAGCTCAGACATAAAAATACAATAGACAATTTCAAATTGGGTGGGTATTGAATAATTAATTGGTGATTAAAAAAAACAAATTGAGTCAAGACTGTGATGCAATAATGATGATGATGATAAAGGATTGTCCCAGAAAGCCTGAATTGTCTTGATAGCAGAGGACTACAGGTGTATCAGAAAGTGATTGTAGAGTGATTGCAGGTCATTTGTGATATCTATGTTCTTTGAAGGCAGCAGCTTTGCTGGGGTTTAGCAACAGACTGCAGTGCTGCAGGTGTATTAGGAAAAAAAGCTTATTAAGTGAATGATGATAGTTTATGTGATTTTGAATGTTTTATCCTGGGAGTGGGTGGGTGTGGAATTTCAATTAAGATCAATTTACAAAGCAGGTCTATGATTGTTTTTTTGCCATGTGAATTTGTTAGAGAAATTACCTAAACAAAAGCACTTGCTTTTACAATTGATGGTTTTGTTAACTTCAGTTCTGAAATGTGTTAATTGTGTTACTGGTTTGTTTGTGTCTCCTATTTATTTAAAGTAGCATCTTGTAATTATGTGTTTTCATATACGTCACTAGTTCTCAGATTGCTAAAGATATCCTTCACTTTATTTAATTGAAATCAGGAATGCGGTACATTTTGAGTTTCTTCAAAAACTGCATTACTAGTGTGCTATGGAGATGACCAGTAAATATTAATATTCCTGTTGTCCAGATAGGTAATTTTCAGGAATCACAGTCCATTCTCTGCAAAAGTAATCATGTTTAACCACCAGAAAATATTTAGCAAATTTAAGAGCACTTGCATTTTAAATGAGGAGCTCAAGAGAAGTGCTTTAGATGATGAGGTCCATTCTTTTTGTTATTGTAGTTTTTGCTTAGATTACTTTCTAAAAGTGGGCAACCCTAGTAAATTATTGTAACTTAAAATATTTTACCCACTTAGATTTTGTTTCAGATGTGGTAGAGTGTAGGAGAGTAAGACCAACTCTTACTGTGAAGGAAACTGTTAGGATCCTATAATTTAGTCTAAATGACAAATGAAAACAACTCTTTCATTTCTTACCTGGGGCCCTTTTGGACAGAACAAGGTCCTGCCTTCTCAGATGTTTCCATAGTCTGTCACTGTGGTGACAAATGCAGCCGGCTGGTGCAAAGATACTGTTTTGTTCTTTATAAATATTTGATTCACTTTTTCTGTCAATGAAAAATAAATTTGAGACCTGATTTAACCTGTTTGAGTACATCCATTTCAGAATTCTTTGCTTCTGCTTTCAGGGGACTTAAAGACCAATAAGATTTTCATTGGACGTCCTGGTATTCTTTCCATTACTATAACCAGGATTCTTGCTCCTCCTTCAGCTTCAGAAGAGTTTAGAATATTTGAAGTTGGACAAAAAAATATATACTGGGCACACAAAGCATTTTAGCTTTACTTTAAGCATAATTTTAATTAAATTGGAAGTATAATTAGGGGTTCAAAGCAAGTACTGGAATTACTGGTGAAAGTCCCTAATGAGAATTTTAAGGCAGATAAAGTTTTAGGTATTCCATCCTTTTGTTGAAATGAATTTTGCATTCCTGGCAGATGATGTTTAATGTAGACATGCACAGTTTTGCATGTAGGTGCTAAAAACACAAGCATAAACTATTTATAAAATGGAAATGCTGAGCTAGAAGAGACTTAGAATATTGTGTACAGTTTTGGTCATTATGTTACAGAAAACATGTTGGTCAGTCCAGAGCAGAGCAATGCATGCTGGGGCTTAAACGTCATACGCTGAAATGCTGAAGAATATGAACCTTTTCAGACTTGAGCAGAGAAGTCTATGAGGGAACCTGTTCCAAGTATTGAAAATCCTTGGCATCAAAAGTATTGGTCATCACCTTGCATACTTCTTTGGAATAAACAATGAAATACAAACCAGAGGACATAATTGGAACATAGATGGAAGTGCACTTCAAAATAAGAACGGCTTTCCACAGAGGAGTGGAGTATGGACTAAGCTACCCAACCAAGTTCTTGAAGCTGATACCCTGCCTTCCTTCGGGAAACACCTGGTTGAGATCTTTCGATCGATTAGCTGCTAAAAACAGACTAGATGAGATAAATGGCCTCATGTTTGTAATTGATCCAATGTTCTTAATTCTGCTATACAAACATCACTGCTTACATTACCTAAAGAGCATTAGTCTGGTTACTTGCTGTACAAGTTTGACAAGACCTGAAGTGAAATCCTATATGTCTAAGTCTAAGATGGAAATAAAGTTAATCGTTACTTTAATTGATTGCTCAGGACGCCACCAGGAGGCGCCATTGTCACATCTTTTGGATTTCAGCAACGCGTACTACACGTTTTATGTAAAAAGTTGTTTTTCCCCTAAAGATTTTCTTTTTCAAAATTTCACTTGTGGTTATTTCAGTAGTTTTGTGATCTGTCTCAGACTATTACGCTTTCAGAGAAATGTATTATTTTTAGGATAAGTCTAACAAAAGAAAACAAAATTATGAACGAGGATAAGGGAGTTGAACCTTTGATATTCCGTGTTTCCTTATTACCCTTTTATTACCCTTTTCAGAGAGGGCAGTGTTAAGAGGCCAAGGTACAGTTTTATCTAAAGCACAGTATTGACATAAAAGAGCCACATGATTTTCTCGTATGTTCAGTAAACCACAACAGGCTTCTTGCTCAGTAAAATGGACTGATAAGATGCAACGTTTTCTATATGTATAACCCTCATTATCGTAGTTCATTTGTAAATTACACGTTCGTGGTTTAAAAACATGTAGCGAGTTTATATAAAATGTTGTTCACTTCACGGGACTTCGGTGCGGTTCTCGGTAATATTTTCTGTTCAACAATTTAAATAAAATTTAGGTTCACGTGGGAATTTCATAAAACATATTTAAATGAGTGTCGTCCCCAAAAAAGAGGCTGCTTCTTAGGAAGTCAGATAAGTTCCGCACTCCTGACGCTCATAGCTGCCAAAGACAGAAAATATTTTTTGTCTTTTGTTTAACGTGAACACAAACTTGGCACGCGTAGTTTTACTTCCAGTATTTTCTTTTTTAGTACACAGTAAACGTAACGTAATTCACTCAGGTGTCACAAGTTTGGTGTCCGGGTCATTTCACTAAAGATTAAACAACCGTGTCCGGGTTTCCCTTTCTCTATTTATCTCAAGATGTTAGTAACCTCAGTTTTTGTGAGGCCAGGTGTTCTACCTGAACAGCCAGATCCTTCTAAATGAGTAACACCTGATGGGTGCTGGAGGGCAAATCCGACAGAGGTGATGACAGACGCATTTGTCTATCTATGCTTGATGCATTTCTTGAGAAAACGTGTTAAACTGTCTAGTATGTGACAATACAGAAAGTCCATTCTCTTGGTAGGGACAAATAATGGAGTAGGTGAGAAGTTTCAAAAAGATAAATTTACAGTACAAAGAATATATGCAGAAGGAGGTGAAGTTGTTCTTTTTAATTTAATTCATTTAACCAGGTTAATATCTTAAGAACAAATTTACAATAATAACTTGGTGAAGAAGCCTGCAGCACAACAAAGTGTGCAATTTAAATCAAAGTATTGTTTTCTAAATTAAATCCATACATTTTAAATAATTATTAAATTGTTAGATGGCATATAGTACTGCAATATATTCTGAAGAATTAAATTATTTTCTCAATTAAAGGTCTGTAAATTAATATTCCTCAGGCATGCAGAGAGGGCTGATCAATCAAAGCAGAAATATAACAATCAAAGGAGTTGCATTGTCACATTTGTGGCACAATTTAACTTTCCTTTTTGAATCAATTTCAAAACATTTAATGTATATTATTGTCTTGCAATGCAAAATTAAACTGTATTTATTTAAAACCTATTTTCAATGGCTAAACTTTAATCAAATACTGAGAAGTTGGACTATTTTTTTAACTATAAAATGGAACATGATGCAAAACAACCACTTAGCTGTTCTTTTAATTGCACCTGTAACTTATAATTCCCTAAATGTCATTCAAAGAAACAAAAGCTCAGTTACTTATGCTCAGTAACTAGGTGGCTAAATGTGTAGAAGGCTGTGGGCTCAAATTCACGTGTGAACCAAAAATCTGCATATAAAGAAACTGGTCATTGTAACAGTAGCGAGTTGTTTTGGATAAATGCATTAGCCAAATAAATTAAGAATCATGAGAACAATCCTAGTAAGCAAGACCCCACAACCAGATGCTGCTGTGTTGATATCTGTTCCACCGTGTGCATTGCATGGCATCACATAGCAGGTATCCTGCTGTCAATCCTGTTCAGTTCCATACTTCAGGGCTCTATATAAGTACAATATGAATGACTTTCACCACTAGTTACAAGATTAAATTAGAGAGCTAGCAGTGTTCTGAAACAGGAATAATTCAAGAAGACACTTCATAAAGCAAAGGAAATAATCATTGTAGGGATCTTATTTTAACATGAAACATATACAGTATACCTACTAAAAATAAAAAAATATAATTTAGGGACCAAAAACCAGGACATTTGGGGAGCACCATATCTGTATACCCTCCAGTGCCACAAACTAGACAAGCAGTGCCCAGTTTTTTTAGCCCCATTCACAGGATGTGGAAACTCAAATGCCTCACTAGAAGTGTGTGACTTTAAAGCATACGGGACAAGGGCATAGAGTCAGGAGTCCAGGGTGTTGGGCAACATCTGACATTTGTGACACAGCCCAGTCCTCGGTCAGACTGCCCCAACTACATTAGCCCTCAGCAGCTTCACCACGGACCAGTTGCAGGAGCTGGATGGCAACGGGGCTTCGTCAAGCGAGGCTGTGAGCGGGGAGGCTGGGGACAGGTCTTACTGTGGGTGCTGGGCTCTGTCAGCGAACGGGAAGACCTCTCGGGTGAGTCGGGTGACAAAGCAGGGCATGACCTTCTTCCCACCCAGGTCCCTCCCCCTGGCTTCAAAGCTATAGGCCACACGGTAGTTGAGACGGGTGAGGAGCTGGTTGATCTCCAGGTTCTTCCCACCCTCCTCTTCCAGGAGGTCGCAGAGGGTCTGGATGAACACCGAGCCCAAGGGGTGAAGGAAAGCCGAGTACCCTGCCAACGACAGAACACAGCCGTGTTTAAGACTTCTGGCCCTGTTGATCGGTCACTCTCCCAGTCATTCTAAAAGCCACTATAACGTGCTTTCTTGCCAGTAAAATTAGCTGAATTCTCATTCTTCCATGGCTTCTCTTATTAAATCAAAGGTCCAGCACTTTTATTTGAACATTTTTGGATTCATTACTTGTTGTCCTAAAATGTCTAGAAGGCTAAGACTGCTTACCTTGTGTTCCCTTTGTTAAAGCCAAGAAGGTGTATCGGTCTCCCTGTTCCACCATCTTTCATTCTGGGTGACCCGGTACATTAGCTTCAATAACGCGTTCAGCCTGTTCTTGGTGGCTGACTTTTCAGCGTGACTGGGTCTTACCTGGTGAAGTAGCGAACGTGACGGCGCAGTTGATGGGGATGGCGTGGCAGTGAGAGAAGCTATCTTCTTCCTGGCTGAGCTCTGGCGAGTCTGTCTGGAGTTCCACCCCGCTATCCAGATCGGTCCCACGACAAGCCTGCGAAAAACAGAGAAACACAAGCCAATGCTATGGTTCTATGACTAGCAAAGACCTTTCTTCACAACTGTGTGAGAGTGTGGCACTCTCAAAAATGTTGAAAGACATGTCCATTTTGTTTGCAAAGTCAATACCCCAGTACAGATAAGCTAGGAGGAGAGTTATTTTCACCCTGACTTAGGTCTTTCCATTAACTCTTCATCTTTAACATTCAAATTCAAGTACTGTACAGAAGACTTTTTGCAGAAAAATGTTAGCTCTTCTGTTTAGTTTACACATGCTTGGCTTTATACAATTAATTTTTTTTGCAACAGGAAATGATAATTTTCAGTCAGGTTCTCGTACATTCCCAAGACACATTGTAAGAATTTCTGGAGCATAGCTTTTGATTAAAAAAACAGAGCAGACTGGTTTTGTCAGAGAATTTCGAAGAGAAGTATCTAAGAATACCTAAGCGTATCTTAGGTTAAATGTTTGATTGAGCATGTTTCCAGCCTAATTCTAACCTGAACAAGTAGTCAAGATGATCTCTGTGGCGCTGATTAATATAGATTTTATTTTCGTATCATGAAGGAGTGTCACAAGATTAATAAACTCAGATCTCTTTCACATTTCACAATTCCTAAGGTCTTAAAGAACCTCTCCTGGGAAGAAATGTGGAAACATCTGCATCTGGAATTATTTTATGGAAGAAATGAAACTCTGTGGCCTGGACAGTTAAAACTGTAAAAGTTAAAATACAGAGAACAGACATGACCTACCTGCACAAAGAAGACCTTAGTCTTCTCAGCCATGACAGGATTTCCAAACCATCCAAAAATATCTGCCAACCTCACTGCAGCCCCATCTGCCCCAAAAATTAGACCTTCCTCTCCGTGACTAGACAAGACCCCCACGAAACAATTGTCAACTGGCTCCGTGCTTGCTGGGGAGGGAAACGGAAGAAAAGGAGAAAGGAAATGGAAGGTTTGCATGACTGGCATTCTTCTGGATATTCTTCATGTTGGTCTCTTGCTCTTTTGTGATTGTTTTCTTTGCAAATGTGTTTCTTGGCTTAGTTAAGGGTATAGTTTAGTGAACGAAGACTAGATAGTGCTAGTAGCCAAAATAAAAGAATTACAAGCTATCCGTCCATCATTTTCTAACCTCTTTATCCGATACAGGCTTTTGGTGTAACCTAAGCCCGTCCCAGGAAGAAATGGGCACAAAGTCGGACCCTGGATGGGACACCACACAATCACAGGACAGACAAACACAAACTCACATCGGGACCAGTTTTCCCAGAAGCCACTCAACCTGTCCTTGGGCAGTGGAAGGAAGCAAGAGCACCTAGAGGAAGCCCACTCAAGCCAGGGGAGAACATACAATCTCCATGCAGATAGCACCCTAGGAATTGAACCCAGGGCCCTAGCACTGTGAGGCAGCAGTGCTTAACCACTGCATCACTGTGCCACATCTTAATTTTAAAAATCATTTTAATAAAGCAGACTAAACAAAGAACACATAATGGAGGAATTGAGTAGAAAGCACAGAAAAAATACCATCCTTCTTTTTCTTAGTTCTACATAACAAAAACAGAGTTTTACCTGTTTTCATGTTTCATCAAAACTGGGACCAAAGGTTTTTCTCTTTTAAGCAGTAATGTTTTATGGCTTCTATCAGCTGGGGCAGCCTCCTTGTGTAATATACTATGACCTAGTTGAAATCATGTGATTTATGACAATGTCAATTATCACTGCTTCCTTTAAAATCTGTCTGACTTAAATTGAAGGTCTGGGAATTCTGTCTGCAGGTTTACTAAACAGAGGTGCCAAATTGTCTGCCCATGTGAACAGATGCAGAAATATACCTGCTGGGAAAAGCCGAGACAGTGCACATTAATATAACTGCAACTGCAGATTTATTTATCACGCCTTCACATTACATCCAGACAAAAGCTGTCGGGTTACTGCATGCTTGGTCACAATATGAAACCTAAAGGGTATATGACGTGTTCTTAACACCTGTCTTCATGATTGTGGGTTCTGCTGAGCTCTTTTTGCAAAGCTCTTATAATCCTTGTTTCCATTCAGTTCAAGCTTTATTGTCACCTAGGGGAAATCTGTTTTACAGCACAGTCAAACACAACACAATGACAAATAAACATCACCAAAAGGGAAGAGAATACAGTAGTGTTACAGCAGAAAAGAAACAAGAGACAGGGTAGTTACTTTGCATTGTTTAAGAGTGTAAATGCAGTGGGAACGAAATATTTCCTGGGTCTGTTGGTTTTACACCTGGGAGCACATTATTATCACATTTTAATTGATAAACACATTTTATACATTGATTATTTGTATTGCATGGCTCTAGGCAATAACAATTAAATAAATACATTGCCATTTAACAGTTTAAGAGAGCAGATTTATGTACTGAAATTCAACCCTGCAGTTTCAATGTGTTTCAGTGTGTGGTGTTAACTCAATAAATCACACCGACAGAACTTGCTGTGTACAAACATATACTGCATTACATACTGTAATGAATATAGTGATGAATGCATATAAATACATGGTAGTAAGCACTGTTTTCACAAGAGCTGGTACATCACTTACATGGAGCACCATAAAGACATGCAAGACATTTAATCACACAGCTTTGGCCTACCTGTTTTAAATACTTGCTGGATCTCATTTGCAGACAGGTCATTGTGAATGTCCACCTGGAATCCCAGTCGAGAAAGGATCTTGTGGAGTCTCTTTGTGTCTCGACGCGCCCCATTTCGTATGTCCAAATCCACTCCGGGATCAAATTTGGTCACCGAAACCAAAACAGCCTTGTTACAGGTTAGGGGCTTCCTTGTCCGTAAGAATGGCATTGAAGAGGAGCTCAGCAACTGGGAGGAATTAAGAACTAAACCTGGATGGCAGCTTATGGGAAATCCACTGATCAGATATCCCGTGATCTTAAAAACGAACAGAAGTATAGACTTTAATGAACTCTCAAGCTAAAGAGACCTCCAAGTACTGGAAGATGGATCTACCAGTTCTAGGAAGAGAAGAGGCTGAGATCTATTAAGCAAGCTTCCCATAAAGAAAGAAAAGGACTCTTTACACTTCTGAATCATATACTTACCTAAGCGCTGTGAAGCATTTTAAATTAGCAACCACTCCCTCCTGCAGGATAGCCTTATAAGGAAATTGCCTTTCTCCCTTATTTCCCCCTTGTGTAAGTTTCTTGATTTGCTTGCACACTTATCCCTGTTCATTCGAGTAAATACACCTGTGTTGAAATTCCAAGAACCTTGTGTTTTCTTCCATTGGAAATTGCCAATTACAAGCACACAGCTGAACATTTTAATTGTAAGAATTGTATCTTTAGTGTTAAACATTTTACAGACTTATGCTGTCAAAACAATTAATAACATTTCATACAGGTTTTCTTGCTATGTTTTGTGCTTTTGTGGGTTTTGTTTTTTTTGGGGGGGGCTTTTAATTGCATTACAAGAGAGATTAAAAATGTGAAAACTGAATCAGGAATCACAGGAAAATACAAGAATTGTATTTCAGTTAATTGTGGACTCTACTTAATGTGCATTTTTAAATTTGATGTTTAATGATAAGGGCATCAGGAAATGTCATCCTCCCACAACTAAGTTAAATGTTCATGAATGCATTTTTTTTAAATGTGCTGCTTCATATGACAATTAGGACACGTGGTATTGGACAGAATGACAATATGTCAAGTCCTAGAGATAACATTTATACAATATTGATATCATGTACAAGTTCATACGACTTTTACCCCCTGAAAGACCACTGTAGAATTACCTTATACAAATATGTTCAGTGGTGTCCTGACTAATTTGTACCTGTACATTTCCTTTGGGTGTGTTCAAGATAAATACACATGCATCCCAGTATTGTGAAAGAGTAAAAAGTACCCCAGAGTACAGCAAGTACTGTACATGCTGCGACATATCGTCTGGCTGGCATAATAGTGTTTTGAGCTTTGGCGCCCTCTGACAGGCCACATTCAGTATTGTAAGTAAAACATGAAAACGGTACGCAGACCATCAATGGCTTCAATTGTTGGTCGTAAAATCAAGAACCTTCTCTTCCGTAAAGGCGTATTTTCTGTGCTGACCTTATCTTTGTTTACTTTTTAAACATTTTTCTTAAAGTGTATTTGTATTATAATATGAATCCCTGACGATGTTTGTGATATGTAGTCGTTTTTGTTTCCTTTTCTTGTTTAAATACAAAGTAAAAAAAAAAAACACCCGTGTCTTCCAGATTTTATTTTAGACGAGCTCTTATTTGCGGGTAAAATTATTATTTTTATTTTAAACAAGGCACATTCTTAAATTTTACTTTTAGGTATCAGCATTTTAATAGAATTTTTAATCAACTCCAGTTTCTTAATTTCAGAACTCCTCTCGTACAGACGTCATCTCACATAAAATGATGTACGCTGCAGCATGTATTTTGTAATCCAAGAACAATCTGACTTGAAAATTGCCTTCGAATATCACTTCAAGATTTAAAGCCGTAACTTAATATTACATTCCAATTCGTACCGAATATTTCAGCAGAGTACTATTATTTCTACACCGTGACTGTAGCTGGGAAATGGAGTCTTTACATGTTGCTACTGCGCAAGCTCGGCGTTGCTGGGGTGGACGGAAACGGAAGCTCGTTTGGGAACTTGTATTCGTCATCCGCCGGCACGAGGTGAAAGCTTTCAAAATATGCGGTTGTATTAAAAAAAAAAGCGATTTTGGGTCGTATGCAGTTTAGAGGTCGTTTATAAGGAAAATGTCTTTGTACGCATTTAATGCCTACAATATTTCAAGATCTTCAGGTTCTTCTGTTTTGTATTTCATAACTAACTGCGGCTTTTCCTTCGCTTCTGGTATGCATACAACTAATGCTTTCTCTCGGTACGCAAATTAAAGCCGGACTACTGAATGGCTTGCACTACACAACAGTTTTTAGTTTCAGTTTAAACAGCAGCAAGGCCTGCCTCAGCCCGCGATTAGCAGTGATTGAAAGCCTGAGGTGGAGATCACAGTAGCGAGACAAAGTGGCGAAGTCCCGTGCGGCGTGCCAAGGAAGAGGCGCCTTTTTTAATCCATGCAGGCAATATCACAGGAACAAGCCTAACATGGCGAATAAAATCCCGGACAGGTATGTGAAGAGAATCATTAACTATATAGTTCAGCGGTCGTACCGGTGCATCCCTCTTTTATATCTCCAACTCCGAAAGAACTGTCGAAAGGAATTTAATTGGTCTAATTAATTCAATAATTAGATGATTGATGCAGTTAGGAATTTGGGTAGAGACTCGCAGTTACATGTGCTGCATACTTGTATGCCTTTGATGATTTGGCTGGCTAATAAGTAATGCTGGATTAATAAATATGCATTTACTGATTGGTTTTACTCACTGTGTGGTGCATGGTCACGTGATTTACTGCTTTACGATTTTAATTACCACGCTAATTGTCACCCTCATTAATATGGTGACCGTCATGGACCTGAAATATATAGGAACCTTTTCAGGATCAAGAAACTGAGCAAAATGAACTTCATTGCTGTTGACACAGGTCAAATCAGACACGAATAATTGACAGTGTCCATAAAACCCAGGGATATCATAGTGCTTTCATTCTCAGTAGCGGATTAGCCCATGGGGAAGAGTAAAACGTTTCAGGTCAAAGATGGGTGTTTTTACTTTGTTTCAGATGGACATATTACCAGGCTTTGGGGAAGAGAATTCCAGGCACACGGTTCATTGCTTTTAAGGTCCCCCTGAAACGGGTAAGGTTGCAACCTTACTAGTTCCTGTCTCACTTTTGGGGGTTATTAATAAACAGTTATTTGAATTAATTACAATGGTTCAATAGTGCTTAAGGTATGGTAAGGTTTGTACCATGTTGAACAGTAATATTTGGTTGTCCCCAGTTTGTATGTATGATCAGTTCATCATTATCATTCTTCATCACTGCAGAGGTTCAAGTGGGAAGATGAAGTATCTGTGCACTTTAATGTATAAAATTGTCCTATAGTTATTGATTGACCTTTTTAAATGTATTTCAGGCCTAATTTGTTCACCTTCAATGTAATCAGAGGTGCCCATAATTCTTTTCTGTACACTCATTTTCTTCATTTGATGAAGGAAAGCATTACTTGAAAAACCCATTCAGTCATACATCTGTTGTGAAGAGGCTTGCATTTTTTGTCATTGAGCATATTCTTGCACAAACTGAGAAAGTCATTGCCATTTAAATATCTCTGTCATAATGACAGATGTTTAGCCAAATAGACAATGTCATAAAATGCTTAGTAAGTCATGTTTCAATTAGTGGTTAAATGAGAAGGCTCCTTACTTTAAGCCATCTGATATCTAATTGATCCTGGGATCTCAAGGAAGAAGTTGAGGTATCGGCTTTATCTTGACTAGGTAGTTTCTTCAAGACTCCCACAAACCTTTGAGGCTCCTGCTGCCAGTTTTAAGTGTACTTCTGTTTCCATTTGTCTCTATTGGTTAGTGTTTCACTGTTGACTTTGTTGGCTTTAAAGATGTCCATTATGGATAGCTTTAAAGATAGCTTTTCAGTGCCTTTGAGGATTTTGAATGTTTGAATTGGGTCACCTCATACTCTTCATGGGGGGAAAAAAGAGTTGGTTGTGAGTTGATTTCTCCAGACCTATTCAAGAGTAGCGTAATCTTTTTTTTTTGTGACTTGGTGACCAGTTGCATGCACAACATTCTAAATGAGGTCTTACTTGGGAATTGCCTGATTGTAACATAACTTCCCTTCAGTGAAATGTGTAGTCTTTTAAAGTGTGTCCTGTTGTTCTCTGTTGATATTTGCCAGTCTTTTGAGAGTAGGCTGCACCCCTCTCAATACTTTGGCCCATTTGACCTGGTTCAGCAGCTGAAGGATGAGAATCAGGAGCTGGGCCTCATCATTGACCTCACCTTCACCACACGCTACTACAAGCCACAGGTTAGTGAGCCTGTTTAGAAAGTCCCTGGGACACAAGTTCCATCTGGCGTTGATGTAGAACCTCTTAAAAACACTGCTTGAGAAACTCTTAACACCTTCACATATCCCTTATTTAATCAATGACTCAAAAGCAGTAGACAGTTATTCTAGGGCTTAACTCCACTCTGCTGTTTAGGAAAAAGTATCAATTGAGGTCACTAGGCTTCTTCAGTTCTCTGAAAACAATTTGGTGGTCAAACTGTAAATAAGCAATAACTAGCTTTAAATAAATGGCAATAAATTGTATTAAGGGTCCTCTGACTCACAATAATAGGTACTACGAGTCATTCGTTTTTCTTTTATTCCCATTCCAAGGACTTGCCAGAGAGTTTACATTATGTGAAGATCTTCACTGCAGGGCATGAGGTGCCGAGTGACAAAACTATCCTTAGTTTTAAAAGGGCTGTGAATAAATTTCTGCAGGAGAATGAACACAATGGTGAGTCTCTTCACTGAGCTATACCTACCAGTGTGCTGTAAATACTTATGTTACTGTGTTTCAAGGCAACTTAGGGTTAGGAACAGAAGGTCCAACAGTAATTATATCTGATTAATAAGATCTTTTCAGAAATACTAAAAAATGCTGATAAAGAAAGTCAACACCAGGGGACTTTTTTAATGTTTAGGAATTGTTTCCACAGTTTTGGTTATAAAAAAACATATTACATACAATGTTAAAAAACAAAGTTAATTTAAAATCAAACAAGTCTTCCTAACTTTCTCCCACTTCAAATAATAATGTGTGCTGGGGTAAGCTTTAGAGTGTCTGTTCATAAACTGTTTTTCTGGCTCTATTTAAATTTAGTGTTAAGTATATTGATGTACAGTGCCCTCCAAATGCAGGGACACAAACAGAATTATTTTTGAAATAGGTACTTATGATAATTGAAGTTGCTCTTTGCAGTGTTATAATGTAATACTGTAGTCATATTTTGAATGAGACACATTATCCAGTCCAGAACTCATTCTGCTGTGTCATCATTTTTATTCTTGCTTCATCTGTGCATGAACAAATCTGAAGAGCTCTGTATCATTCATGTCGATCTCATGATCACGAATACATGTCCTGACCGTAAAGCAAAAATAACAGTTTTGACTTGTCAGTCCCAGTACTTTGAGAAGCTGTATCATGTACAGGTTACATTGCAGAATATGTATGTAGTTAACTTTGAGTAGTCCAACTTTGAGCATTTACAGTTGGTATGGTGCTTGGCAAGTTTTTTTTTTCCTCCTATTTAGACAAGCTGATTGGAGTGCATTGTACCCATGGATTAAATCGGACAGGTTATCTCGTGTGCAGGTATGTTTAACAAACCTTATAAAGGAATGTGCTCTCCATGGGAGTTTTTCTAAAGTGTGTGGGCCAGAGGTAGTGTGAGACTGACAGTCTAGAGTGTGAGGAGGGAGAGAATGCTTTATTTAAGCCAACAGCCATATCACCCTGCAACTCACACCTAGCAACCCACTGAGGCTAAGCAGGTGTGAGTCTGGTCAGTACCTGGATGGGAGACCTCCTGGGAAACACTAAGGTTGCTGTTGGAAGGGGTGTTAGTGGGGCCAGCAGGGGGCGCTCACCCTGTGGTCTGTGTGTGTCGTTATGTCCCAGTATAGTGATGGGGACACTATACGGTCAAAAAGGCCCCATCCTTTGGATGAGATGGAAAACCGAGGTCCTGACTCTCTGTGGTCATTAAAAATGTGGTCATTAAAAATCCCGGGGCGTTTCTCGAAAAGAGTAACCGGGTTAATGCCGGTAACCCTGGCCAAATTTGCCATTGGCCTTTACCAATCATGGCCTCCTAATGATCCCCATCTATGAATTGGCTTCATTACTCTGCTCTCCTCCCCACTGATATCTGGTGTGTGGTGAGTGGTGTTATGGTGGTGGAGGGGAGTCCGTATTACCTGTAAAGTGCTTTGAGTGGAGTGTGCAGAAAAGCACTATATAAGTGTAAGGAACTTATTTCCCCCCCTCATTGTGACAGCATGCGAAATTCCCTAGGGCGCTAAACACAAAAGTCCAGGTTAATTGGCTTAATTGGAAAATGGAACCTAGGTGTGAATGTGTGTTTTGTCACGTTTGCTTGGAGACTCTAGCTTCCCTGTAACCCGGAATTGGAAGAAGCAGTTAAGAAATGGTTGAATGCTTTAAGCAACATGCTGTACCACTTGAAAGTGAAGGCCCTTGACACACATTGGCCAGAACGCCTCTCGGCCTTCTGCTGATAAATGTGTTGGAATCAGCACTTCCCCAGAAACATGCTTCAAAATAATTTCTCTAAACTGCATTTGCAAAACAAAGTTTTTGACAAACTTGCTCTGGTTGGAAATTTTCTAAATATTTTATTCTGATAATACCAGTGGCGTGTTTGTCATGTAGTCTTCAGTATGCATTTTACCATATAAGAATAACGGGGGCAGTACAGTTATCTAAGCCAAAGGCAATTCAACTTGATCAACTCTTCTGTTTTCTGTAATTTTCTAAGTTATTAGTCGAGATTAACTTGACCTTTATCCCTTGATCTTTTGGAATTTGGGGCTCTCCAAGGTTGGGGTTAGAGATGATTGATGTCTTTAACCCAGTGTTAATATATAGCAACAATCAAGGCAACAAAACATTCTGGATCAACATTTTTTAACATGTAGTTTTACCTTTTCACATATGTGAAAAGTACTTAAACTTCTGGTCTCATCTGCTGTGTGGTTTTCATTTTCAGTGTTGGGTACTTTGTTGTTCTCTATTGTCTGTATTTATGAAATGTACACAAGAGATTTCTAGCCACCAAATCTTTTAAGTCTTTTAATCTTTCATGTTCAGGTACCTCATTGATGTGGATGGGGTAAATCCCAAAAAAGCCATGCAATGTGAGTAGATGGTGTTAAAAATCATGTTTCTTTTTGATTATTCAAGTCTCCTTCTTTTGATATGTTAAGTACTGTACTGTTCTTTCATTGAAGTCTTAAATCTTAAGTTCTTCTAGAAGGGCCCTTCTGAGATACTAGACATGTTTTAACACAGGTGTTGTGTTTAGTGTTCAACAAGTCCCGGGGTCACTCCATAGAAAGAGAGAACTACATCGAAGATCTTCGCCATGGTCCAAAAAGAAGGTGAGATTCCTAGATCAGTGTTGTGCCTTCATGTCACTGTTTCTTCCTGTGCAATAGTTGCTTGAAATGCTTTTAGATTTACTGGGCAACTGAAATGCATTTTCTGATTGGATCATAAAGGTTTAAGGTGCACAAATAGTGGTTTATAAGGAATATTACTACTAATGCTTTCCCACATAAAAATGAAGGATTTTAGGAACACTGATTCATCTACTGAGGAATTTTGTAAGGTTTGAAAATGATTACTGGCATATCAGAGTGGCATCTCTTGTGCAGACATACTAAGTATAACTCAAGGGGTTCTCTTTTCTGTGGGGGCATGGGTTTGTTCCTTCAGTGCATACCGAGTGTCTCTCTGTTCCTACAGCAATGCAGGCATGGAGGTGGCAGAGCAAGAGCCGGTCAGAGGAAGTGCAGGTCAGGTGCAGAGTGTCACACCATTCAGTAGGCCTGCACCCCACTGTGGACGGGAATCTCTCCTGGGGCCCTACAAATCTTGTCGGTATGATAAGTCTTTCTAATGTGGTGCAGTGCTGAATGTGCAGTGCCTTGGGTGGAGTGTCTAGAAAAACGCTATATAAGTGTAAGCAATTATTATTATTATTAATGTGTAGTAGCTTTTTCACAGATGTAATCAGAAAATGTGTGATCTTGTTAAAATAATTGCTTTGTCTATTGCCTACATATGTCAAACTCCTGATCCATCTGGTTTGGAATAGAAAACGTTTAATTGACATCGAGGCTGCCATTTTTAATGTGTACATACTGTACATGGTGGAGTGCTTAGTTTGCCCTCAATTATTTCCTAAATCTCAGCTGTTGTGTTTCAACCTTTTGCATGTGCATCTGGCTGGGGCCCTGCCAAATACACAATGCCAAATGGCAAGATATCACACCTGCCCCATCCTTTCTCTCATTTATTTTTGTCCTCTGTTTTCAGGCCACCATACCCCCCCTCTGGTATTCAAAGAGACCAGCCCTACCCACCTTTCCTTCCCCGGCCTCCTCCTGCTCGTGGGATGCGACCTCCTGGAGCCCCCCGACAGCATTTCAGACAGGACTGGAGAGGGCCTGCAGATTCTTATCGCTCATCTTTGCCTGTTTTCCACCACTGTGCTGGCTCAAGTGGCACCAGCGGCCCCAGGCCAGGAACATCCTTGAATGGCCAGCAACCTCCACCCCACACTGGCTCTCTGGAAGAACCCCGCAGAACCAAAGAAAAGGCTTACTGGAAGGCCAAAAAAAAAGAAAGGAGGAACCCGAAATGAAGCTAATCTGTACGATCAAGGTTTCAGTGGAAGAGCACATGCCAGCCAGCTACAGTACAGATGGCAAAACATTAAGAATTTGTAGCTCATGTTATGGTTTGCTCACTCTTTTTCTGGGTGGTGGAAAACCGAAGTAAAATAGCAATTGTGTTCAGCCTAAACATTGGTTGCTTGAAGTCCCGCACCTAGTACTTCTTACTACAACTGAACTGCTCCTGAACACCCAGATATATTTAAATCTGTAGGGCAAAATTATATATTTATAGCAAAATGGGCTTTCCTGTCAGTAGGTAATGTGGAAAAAGAGTGTCAGATCCTTGAAAAATTTCATCAGAAGGTGGACTATCACCATAGATGAGAGGGTAGTCAATAGGACTTAAAATCTTTTTTTATATCAGGAATTTCTGTAACATGCATCAACTTGAAAACCTATTATAAATTTGACCTTATAAGAACTAAACATTTCACATTTTTGTTGTGAAATATTAAGCTAAGGCTGCAGATGCTCAAGAAACATGACCATTTTTTTTCTAAAAGATCTCCTAGTCTCTAAATTCTTTGCTTTTGTAATGATGGGGAACTAAATCTATTCTGATGGATCGGTTCTGTTTGTGGTATGAACAATCTGCAAAGACAGACAGACATTTGGTTTCATTGTGCCCTAGGTTTGAATGGTCATGGTCTGTGTCCAGTTTAAAAAGTGATATTCTCCTTTTTTGCTTTGCTTCGAATGTTCCTGCTTTGCATCACTTGCGGTTTGATTACAGTCCAGTATTAAAAGTTAAGTGATGCAAGGTGTGCAAATATTTAAGTTGTGTCTAGTCTTTAACCTGTGTGTTTTATAAGTTCTGGGTAAGAGCTACAAAGGGTGAAGTGGTGCCAAATTAACATACTTAGCTCCCATTCTTCAGTGTTAAAAGTTTTAAAATTGTGTGCTAGTTTACAGATGAAGACATCTCTATTGTTAATTGAAACAAGGCAGTGCACTGGGCTTGTTAAATCTTCTAGCCTCTATTCTGTTGGTAGGTTTCTTGTCTGTTTTATAAAAAGACGTAACTAAGCATTGGGGTTAATTTGATCATTGTGAACGTTCATCTGCCTGTGAATAGTAGTACAAATGAAATACTTTAATATTAAATTATTGATGCATCAATCAAAATGAAGAAGGAACATCAAGGTTTAAGATGAAAACATTAGACAATATTTAACCGCAGCTTTGTTAATGGGAATGGCTTTTCACTCTGCTTATTTCTATTTCTTTTTAGAAGAGAAAAAAATGCATTATAAAATTCAGTTTTTTTGTAGTGTCTCCTGAAGGACTTAAAATTGCACCAGTTGGTAGTATAAACTCCAGGAGCACAAACACCAGAACCTATTTGTCTAGACTGTATGATTCAATATCATTTACATTTGACCTTTGGTTTTATATTGTATTTGATTTTAATGGTTTTAACTTAAAATTCTGAGGTGCTCTTTCAGATTCAGTGTATATTTTAACACCTTATTCATTAGTGTTTCTGTACTTTGACCAGTTTCCAAAAGTGCCATTTCTATTAATGAACATGATGAATAAAGGGCTTTTGTTGAATAACGCACGTTTCGCCTTAATGTTTGAATGATGACACTGTGCAGTGGTTTGCAAGAGTGCCACAGGGCACTTTTGAACAGTCTAGCAGGCTATTTGGATACAATGGAATTTTAGTATTTTTCTTTGGAAATGTATGCATGTTAAAATAATTCCCTGCATTTATACTGCACTTTTCATCCCACTGGTTCCAAAGTATTGTACATCCTGTATAGGAGGGAACACACTTTATTCACCACAAAAGAGATACGCAAAATGTGTTGCATTTGCAAAGAAATGTACATTCACCTGTGGGGAAAAAAACTGCACTTCCACTTGTAACGCCTACAGGTATCCATCCTTTTCCGAACCTCTTTATCTCCTACAGGGTTGCAGGGGAGTGGTTAACATTGTTGCCTAGCAGTGCTGGGGCCCTGTGTTTCCATCTGCATGGAATTTGTTTGTTCTTCCCATGTTTGCATGGGTTCCCCCCCACAGTCCTAAAACACACTAGTTACTGCTGTGTGTGAACTGCAGAGGACTGGTGTCCTATTCAGGGTGTATCCCAGCTTGTGCCCATTGCTCTCTGGGAAAGGCTGCAGCTCCCCTGTGACTATTGGGTAAAGGAGTTAGAAAAGGGAAAGTTGATGTTAAGCCCTTGGGCACCTCAGGTCGCATTCCCAGTCACGATTTGTATGTGTAAAGTCTACACTTCCTCTTGGAGCTTTAGGTGTATGTGGAAATTTCCCGAGATGCAATACCTAAGAAAGTACAGATTGTGTTTTTGTGAGAAACGCAGTTACTACATTCAAGTTTCATATTCTTCAACCGGGGATGATCGGGATTAGGGGTCTGTTTTAAAAAGAACGTAAGCCATCTTCAAAATGTGTTCAAGGGCAGGTTATTTAGAAAATTCAGTGGGATTAAGGGAAGACACTTGGTTTCTAAAACATTATTTTCATGACTTGGGGGATATATCTTCCTTTCGGCGACGTTCAAAGATTCAGTCAGAGTAGAACCATTGAAACCATTTTCTCTCTCAGAATTCGATACTCGGTACTCTTTTGAGTAGCATTTCAATAACGCGGTCCTGCGGCCGCAACTCGGCGATGATGACCTCATTCCCAGCTGATCGTGAGTGGCTGAGACACGGGCTGCGAAACAGGAACAGGAACTGCTCCCGGCTAGCAGGAAGTAGTAATGTGACAGGCGTACGCTTGCTTTTTTCATTGTGAAAGCTGCACAAAAAAAAAATCAAGAGTCTTAATCAGAATATTTATAGTCGAATTTAAGGCACTGGGGATTATATAGATAGGTAAGATGTGGCTGGTGATAGAAAGTATTTTTTGGTGGTGGTTGTTTCTCCATGTAAACCGATTTACCTGTCTGTTTTTATAATGACCGTCGTTATTTTATTATCGTATTATAATTAATATAGACCTAAAAGCTTGTTTGATCTTATTGGATTGCCTTGGTTCTTGTCGGTGTAATCTGAACGTTTTGCTCCTATTACTAATTGATTTTAATATAAAGAACTGGAATTTTGACGTTTTACTTCATGTGAAATTGAAGTTAAATTGGTAATGTGGGTTTTTTATCCTGGATTGACGTCAGTCAATGAAAACTTATTTATATAACTATATAGGCTGTATCTGTGTTTTTCATTTCGTTTAAACAGGTAGTAGAAATGAACGATAGTTGCAAGCACTTTTAAAAGGCCTGTCTTTCACCTTGGAATCAGGACTGTGGTTGAAGTACAGTTATCTCCGAGCCCGGTCCGGCAAAAGTTAGTTTTAGAATTTGTGGTGATTTTCGGTTATGATTTGCAAAGCAAAAAATAGTTATTTAATGAAAAAAATGCCACCAGAAGATCAACACAATACTTTCTTTTTGTCATTGCGACGTTAGACGCATTAAATACTAATTAAAATATGTGTAGTAGCACAGAAACACTTCATGAATGCTAACGAGTGCATGAAAGCAAAATAGTTTTTTGATTTATGTGACTTAATCCTCATTGTCTCGTTTTATAGCACTTTCTCACTTAGATTTCAGCCGAACCGTATCAATTTGTGCGGTGTATTTTTAATACTTTCTAGCTAATTTGAAGTAAGAGACGCCACCAAAAGGGGTTAAAGACAACTTTCATGTGAAATGTTTTTCAAGATTTAAGTTCCATTTCCAGAACAGGTCTTAACTTTCGGAAGGCTCTGATTGTACACGCTGCCCAAATCTTCATTTGGCTTCTAGAGAACTAAAGGCTGGGGACTCCCAGATCTTGCTGTGAAACTCTAGACCCCAGCTAGCCAATCCTTCTGTTTATTTCATTTTATTTGAAGTACATCTTTAAGTGATCAGGTTTTCCTCCAAATTATGATAATACTAAAGTAGCAATTAAACCATCACGTTTACCCATTGGTACTGGAGCACCATTGATTGATTGTAATTGGCCAGGATGTGTGTGGACTACATGTATCAATAAGTAATCGAGATTATTCTGACTATCAGTTTAATTGTTTTTTGCTATCAGCATTCTTAATTAAATTAGTCCCCCATGCCTCAAAATGCACAAGAAAGTCAGGAGTTTTCAGCTCTGTTCCTAGTGGACCACAGCTGTATCATGATGTTTGCTTTCAGTTTCGAAATTCTTATTCCGAATGCTGTAAATTCCATAGACAGTGTGGATTATTTAGCAAAATGGACAAATTCAAATTTGTCCCTAGACTTCCAGAGTGTTTTCTGGATACTCTACCCAGAATAAAGTAGGTTTTGGAAATGGCAAGCTGAAAGATAAAGGATGTACAATCAGGCAAGAGATTAGATGAGCTGAGCAAGTGAGGTCTTAGGCTTGAGTGGAAGCAGGGATACTCTGCTGCTCCGGGAGGGCTGGAGTCTTGGGCTCTGGGTGACGCTGGACGGGTGACTGGGTGCTGATGGCACCAGGTGTGGTGTGTTGTAGGTGGAGACCTGGGAAAGCTGGCGCCGCCATGCCAGAGCACAGCGATGCACACCTGACGCCCGAGGAGCGCGTGCGCGCCCTCACGAAGATGGGGAGCTCCGTGGACGTGAACGAGGACGTGCCCCCGCGCCGCTACTTCCGGTCGGGCATGGAGATGATCCGCATGGCCTGCGTGTACGCGGAGGAGGGCAACGCGGAGCGCGCTTTCATCCTCTACAACAAGTACATCACGTAAGGGAGTCCCGGGCTGTGTATCCCTCGACTGCATTCTGCACAGTGGCCCAGGCTGTGTGGTTAACCCAGACTCCTAAACACATTAAAGGGGCTTGATCTCTGCTCTCCTGGGGCTGAAGGGGGTGGATTGGGGCTCCCATAGCGTGGAATCATGAACAGTGTGGCCTGCAGAACCATTTCATGCAGCTTTCTGCTGGTCTCTGTATTGAGCTGCATGTGTCAGCTGCATGGATGGTGGCCTACAGGCAATGCACTGAGTGGCTTGAGCTGCAAGCCAAGCTTGAATAAGACGTGCAATGCAGCACAAAAATCAGAATAATACCTAAAATATTTTTTTCACATTAACACAGTACTGGTGTTCAGTGTAGCTTAGAAAATGAAAAAGATGGGGGCAATTGTTGCTTACTTTCTCTTTTGTAGTACTTTAAATGGGGTCATGCTTTCGCATTGTAGCCTACATAGTAAGATAATATGAAATATGCGCGTTATAGCAGTGCTTTTCTTTATTAAATGGTTTTTATAAGCAGTTTTTTTGTTAGTGTTTGAGGCAACACAGAAGAGAGTTGATAAATGGAGAGGTATTTGTTTTGCTATGTTTGGGGGTTTAAAAGTTATAATAGTCATCTCTAGCAATATAAACTTGAAAAAGAAACTTGGCTTTTGCGATCCATGCGGCTGTTACGTTGTATTGTCCACTAATATCCTGAGTTGAGAACGTTCACCTTTTTGTCTCTCCACTGAAGCGTGTTGCATTTCAAGTGCTCTTTATCATCTTTTCTTCCTTAGGCTGTTCATTGAGAAGCTTCCCAGACATCGCGATTACAAGACAGCCAACATTCCAGAAAAGAAGGAAACTATGAAGGTAGAATGATCAACTCTTCTCTGGTCTCTGCAGATCAAAGATTTATTTCTGATGCTTGATTCTTGTGTTGTGAGGTAATGCCAGTAAAGATTTAGACAACTATGTTAAACCTTAGCAACATCTGACTTTTTAAGACTTTCTGACTTTGCAAGCAAGTAAAAAATCTTTGCAAGCGTCTTTTAAATGTTCTTAGGTTTTAAACTGTAGTGCTGTATTATTCTACGTTCAGGATGGAGGTTTTGTTTTGATTTGTTCTAGCCATAACTTTGTTCAATAGGTTCAATAGGCAATTGTAATATAAATGCCTTCTTTTGTGAGACAGAAATTGAAAGAGATTGCTTTTCCTCAAGCTGAAGAGCTGAAGAAAGAACTCCTGAAGAAGTATGAGAAGGAATATGAGGAATATCTGGAGAGAAAAGTATGTAGCTGACACAGAGGGATAATTTAAATGAGTCTGAGAACCAGACTGTCTGACGCAATTGCAAATGTACATTTTTATACATGTAAAGCAATTTATTTCATCGGATCTTTTTCCTGTATTGTTTTCTGTAATATTTTTGTTTGCTGTCAAATATTGCATCATTCTTTTCCATTCTTTCTTTATTGTGTGCTTTTAAGCTTGATAAATCGAAAACTATTCTTTCCATTACTAGATCTTTGAAACAAGATCTCTGTTTAACACTGTTATTAACATTGCTCCAGCATCACGAGGAGCTCAACGGACTCTTGTCTGGTGCCGTTTCTTGGCTTTAACGGTCTTTTCCTGCCGTCAGAAAGCTGAGGAAGCAACCCTGGCTCGCGAGCTGGCCAAGCAGAAAGAGCTGGAGGCAGAGAGACAGCGCGTTGCGGAGCAGCGACGCAGGCAGCAGGAGCAGGAGCAGTTTAGCGCCTTTGAGCAGATGATCCGCCGCCAGGAGCTGGAGAAGGAAAGGCAGCGGATCCTTCAGGAGTACAGCAGCCCCAGCGCCCCTCCTCCTGACGCTCCCCTTGTCCCAGGCGTCCAAGAACCCCCCCAGCCTGTCGTCATGACTACCCCTACCCCCCCGCAGAGTCCGAAGGGGACCTGCGCTCATGTCTCTCCATCTGCACCAGCCTCAGCTCCCACCTTTGACCGCTCGCTCAAACCTGGGGCACTGGTTGCCCCAGGAAATAGTAAGCAAATTCTGTTCTTGCTTGCCTCTGTTCTTGCTTGCCTGTTTTATGCGTTTCCCAGTCCTTACAGTGTGTATCTATGAAACGTTCTATGTTCCCATCCAACTATTACTTCTAAAATAAATCCTAATGTCAGGTCACGTTTGCAGAATTGAGGGGTGAATGTGCAGGCAGATCGCAGAATGCTTCATCTCTTTTATTCAGTATATTGTAGGTTGACCATTTTCAAAAGATCTGTTTTAGCCTGATTAGCTATCTGGTAAAGGAAGCAACGAGGTGCCATTGACCAACATACAGAACCAGACATTGCAAGAATTAACTATACACAATAACTTGGACATTCATATGGTATGAATTTCTTAGTAAAATGCCTTGTGTAAGACCTGTGAAGTACCTGACTATTCTGGTTTTCAGGCTGAAACCTTAAAATATAAATCAAGTAACTTCACTTGAAGCAACCTAAAAGAATAGCATGAGTACTCAGCATTGTATCTACTGGAGTTTTGCTGAAAGTTGCCTAATAATTAGGTAGTTATATATCTAACATAAAGCTTTACTACTCTGCTTGTTAGGTGTAAGAGCTCGACCTGTTACACTGGAGGTGGTGGAGAGCTGTGTTGCTGGCAGCACTGGTGACGAGTTTCTCTCTATCCAGGTGTGGCGGTGGACAGACTCCGTCAGGTGGCAGTACCAGCAGAGCTGTGCCACAAGTTCCTGAAGCTTGCAGAGGCCAACACAGCACGAGCTGTGGAGACCTGTGGTATCCTCTGTGGCAAACTGGTATGGGGCCCGTCTGAACAATATGAAAGGCATAATTAATGATTTGGTTGTTAGTGTAGCCAGTAATTTTCTGTCAGCTGTAAAGTGGAGAAGCCTGGATGCAGAAACAAGAGTTTTCTGCTGTATAGTGTATATGTAACTTTATTTAATGAACTGCTTTGTGCTGTGCTAATTGAAGTAGAGATTTGCCCATGTTGTAATTTTGATACCATTATTTACTAGCTAGTTACTGAACCTTGCCTAGTAATTAGTTAGATATCTAATATAAAGCTTAACTACTGAACTTGTTACACTCTTAAGAATTACACTGTGTGCTGGAGTGTATATATATATGTAATACCAGTAATTAAAACATGTAGAAAGACAGACGAGTCCTTTTCAACTTTAAATTGTTTATTGAAATTAACTATTTTAGTATAGATTCCTTTGAAAATCTGCTCTTGTAGATTGTTGTATTTAGGATATCAGTACAAGAAGATTAACCAATTAGTATGTTCAACAATAGACATTTATGCGGTTCATACAGTTACAATATAATCCTACAAGAAAAATGTTTCTTTGGATCAAAAATGAATTTCTAGATGCAATTTAAGAAAGAAGGTTTGATTAAGGTAAATTCAGTAGTTTATTGAGAATCTTGATAGCAGATTTCATCTATATTTAAATATATGATTTATAGAGATTTATGTCAATGCTTGTATCTCTGTGGGACTTGCAGTGCTGTAATGTGGACATTTAATGTGTCAAGCAGTTGCTGTCTGTGTGAATTTCACCTGTAGGTATTTGCTTGTGTTTCAGATGCGCAATGCATTCACGGTGACCCATGTCATTGTGCCCAAGCAGTGTGGAGGACCAGATTACTGTGACACAGAGAATGAGGAAGAGCTCTTTCTGGTCCAGGATCAATATGACCTTATTACACTAGGCTGGATCCATGTGAGGCACAGTTGAAACACTTTCAGTCGTAACCAATCCTTCTCTTTCAGTGTCTGAGGAAAATCCACCCTCAAAATATTTCAGCAGCAATTCGATATGAGCACAAAATAAGGCTTTTATTTTGCCATGAACACCTCTCATTGTACCTTTCGAAGTTGGTAAAATCTGGAAGTTGATTCTGGAAGTTGATCACTTTCAGAAGGCTGAGTTTTCTGATTCACAGAGGAGACTTTATATAATTAATACATCACCTTCAATCCCAAACCTTCCTTGACTAAACTTCATTTTACACAAGAGGATCTCCATTCATCACATAGGAATGACTTATTGTTCCATACCTTCTCTGATGGAGAATAGTTTGTGACATTGAATTATTCAACAAATTCTAACAAATTAGAGAAAACAAATCCCAGAAAATAGAAATGTGCTTTATAGCTTTGTACCATTAATAGTTTAATATCATTGCCATTATGCTATTCTTGTATCATAAAAATGATTTACCTTCTGTCTATCTGCAGACACACCCCACACAAACAGCCTTCTTGTCCAGTGTGGATCTGCACACTCACTGCTCCTACCAGATAATGTTGCCAGAATCCATAGCCATTGTCTGCTCACCCAAGTTCAATGAGTGAGTACAAGAGATGGAAAAAGAAGAGGACAGAAATGTGAGGTGGTTGGTGTTCACTGTAAGAATAAAGTAAATGGGTTGAGTTTCGTTTTTCCCTTGGAGAAATTGATTCTCCCAAAACTGATTTGCAATATTAAACAACCATCTACCTGCACTGTTAAACTGGACCTCTTACAGTTTAATGCTGGGGTATACACTGTCTTTTAATAAATAAGAAAACCATAACAGAATATCTTTAGAGGTGAGGCAGTCATCTGCTTTATTACCTCCTGATTTTAAAATGACATCCTTTGCAAATCTAGCAGTTGAAAATCAACTTGAAATTAAGACTGTCAGAAAAAAATGGTGCCAATACGGTTATTATTGCAGTTTTGTTATCAAAGTAGTGTAGTTCTAATACATTTAAAGAATTTGAACATTACAAAGAAGAACATTCAGACTTTGTTGTGTGATCTTGCTCCTTTTAAAATTTGTAATTGTCACAGAGCAAGGCTGATTCATTGGAGGGGGGTTAAGAAAGATGTTCTGTTGAAGCTAGCTTGATAAAGGAGGGTACTTCCTTGACACCAAGGTGCAAAAGTGGTTCGGGAGCTTCTCAGGTGCCATTGTGCCAGGCTGAGGGAGTGTCTGTTTTGTAGGACAGGGTACTTCAGACTGACAGACTACGGAATGGATGAGATCTCGTCCTGCAAACAGAAAGGCTTTCACCCCCATCCAAAGGAACCCCCCCTCTTCACTGTGAGTTACACCTCTCTGCCTTTTCACGTGAAATTAAATCAAATTCTCATGTATTTGTCGTTTCTGCTTGTGATCCATTTATGAAGTTCTGCATGGTCTGCACCGGACTCTGAAGTTGATCACTTCCAGGAGGTTGTTTATCGTGTTATTTTAAAAAGTAGTTGTAGAAGAACTCCGTGGCCGTGGAGTGTCCAGTTCTGGTCATGCCATGTTCAGCAGTTTGCTTGTGCAGATTTAAATATATGCATAGGGCTTCTTTCTGTGGTTGGCGGTCTGAGTTTGAGGATCAGTTAAAAGTTTGTGCCACAGCCTTTTATTTTCTCCATACAAGTTATCTGACAAGAATTTGTTGTTTGCAAGATTTTTTGTTGTTGCTCCGGTGCTTTTGCTGGTACACATAATGATCCCTTTACAGCAAGCCCAGGTTTTAAATTCGGATCTGGGCTCAGTGTGTACATTTCCTTGTAGGCAATGTTGGTATTGCTTTGACTATTTTAAAACGAATTTGTGGTCTTGTGCCAAATAGTGCAGATGACTTGTGTCTGAGTGCTGGAACACAATGAATAGCCAGGCCTGGCTCCACATTTTCATGCGTGGGGCACTAGTCTTATTGAGACTGGTGTACGGTATAACTCATTAATCCAGAGGCGGAGCGGTGGCTCTGTGGCTAAGGATCTGCGCCTGTGGCTGGAAGGTTGCCGGTTCAAATCCCGTGGCCGGCCGAGGAATCCTACTCCGTTGGGCCCTGGGGCAAGGCCACTAACCCCAACTGCTCCAGGGGCACTGTACAATGGCTGACCCTGCGCTCTGACCCCCAGCTTCTCTCCCTGTCTGTGTGTCTCATGGAGAGCAAGCTGGGGTATGCGAAAAGACTAATTCCTAATGCAAGAAATTGTATATGGCTAATAAAGTGATCTTATCTTATCTTATGTATCTGTACCTTTCGTATCCAATAAAGTGTTCAACCATAATCAAACTGTTTATCCAGCCAAATATACATCCGTAATGAAGAAGCAGTGGAGTGCTCTTCAATTTTGACAGTTGCTTGTCTCTTTCTTCAGGCATGTGGTCACATAACCATCGCTGATGGGAGTGTGACAGTAATGGATCTGCGGTGATGATGCAGACTTGCATTTTGTCTTCACTTTTCTGCGGCGTTTGGGGTTGGCGTGTACAGCACCTTTTTTTTTCAAAGAAGCAAACCATCAAAGACGAACTGAAGTATTTCAGCCATACAATTCAGTCACTCCTTCTCCTGACACGTGTGGCAAGAACTGGAACAGATGTACCATGTGCTCATAATATCAATATGAAGTACAATTACAAGTCTTCTACACTAAGCCTTTTTCTTGGATGTCTTTAAGTGCTGCAGAAATATATCCTCAAAATTAAGTTCAGATGTCACAAATGGAGATTTTGAAGGCTGGGTGGTTTGTACTTGTATAAACACTAAAACTGTATGTAGAATTTACTATTGGATTTTTTTATTTCCATGTTTTGGTTTTTAACCATACTTTGTGATACAGGATGCTTAGGTACCTTAATCAAAAAGGATCATTTCACCCAGGTGTGACTTCACAGTTAGGCATATTACACCTAAACATATCTATACTATGTTCTCATAACATCACTAAATTATACGTACATCTGTGACTTAAAATTAATTTAATGTACATTTAATCAGAAAGATTAAGTGTAAATATGCTTTAATCTAACAAAATTGTAAATTACAGATAAGTTTGGGAACTTTTTTCTGAGTTTGGAATAGTATATTGGCACCCTATTTATAATGGTATTAACTATATAAAGAACATTGAGTATTTCTACATGTTATTTCTAGTTAATATGAATAGGAGTTTTAAAAAGTTTTAAATTCATCTTCTTATAGCAGGGTGGTGGCGTTGTGGTTAACGTTGCCACCTGGCAGTTCTGGGTCCCTGGATTCAATTGCTAGGGTGCTGTCTGCATGGAGTTTGTATGCTCTTCCCACGTCTGCATGGCTTTCCTCCTGCAGTCCAGAGACATGCTGGTAGGTTATTTGCCTCTGGGAAAAACTGGCCCTGGTGTGAGTGTGTGCATGTTTGCGTTTGTGTGGCCTGTGATGGATATTCGTCTTGTCCCGAGTGTATCCTGCCTTGTGCCTGTTGCTTGCCGAAAGAAGCTTCAGCTCCCCTGTGATCCTGGATGGATGCTATAGCAAAATAATCTTGGCATTAAAACTGAATATCACCAAGGGCTCATCTCACATTTTCAACAGTAAGATGGATGCTAAAAAGAATTTAAGCTTATTTTCTTTGTGTCGTTGAAGTAATATAACTCCTACATTCTTCTCTAAATTACATCTCTTATTTGTTTCAAAACCATAATTTTCTAATATATTTTTGTTCACATCATGGTAAAGTATTCGTGTAGTGTTCACCTAGGAATTTAAATGAATCTGGCACCACACTTTTGGACATTTTTTTTATATTTTATATTTCCTACTGGGGCATGACAAGCTTAGGGTTTTATTTGCAGCACTAAACTGAAAATACACATTCTGGTATTATATATCACGATGCCACTCAGCCCTTCACAAACACTGAAGGATGGACGGACTGTATGGACAACCTGTTGAATTTAGGTATTTCTCCTCAGGGGGTGTTGGGTCTTGTTGCCAGATTAAACAGTTGCCATTTCTTCGGTGGTTAAATAGAGTACATCTGTCATGGAGCTTTTTATGCATCTTAATAAAAAGGTACAGTAAATACTGCTTCATGCAAAGGGAGTAGCAGGATCTCTTAAAGCCAAAATCTTCATTCTAAGATGAAAACAATTGTGGAGCTACGATTTTGTTGTTCAGTTTTAATTGGTTGATTGGATGAAAACTATACAGGTAACTTACACATACGGTGTATGATAGGTTACATTGTAAATATATTAGTCACTTATCGATATGACTACTTACCAGGTTCTGGGAACTTCATCAAAGTGCACTTTGATAAGTTACAGTGTGCAGGAAATATTTTTGTCCTATATACAAGTTCAGAGTGAACTGAAAACTTAATTGCATTATTCTCTTAAATATGATGAATTAGTCCTACAACAAAAGCTACAGAGCCCCAGGATTAGTACAGTGACCACATTTCTTAAATATTTAATGCAAAGCTTTCAGTTACAATCAACATTATGCCAAATGAAGCTTGCCCCCTCCTATCTATTGGATGTTCTTTATTAAATATAATGTTGATATAATATTCTGAGCTTTATTAATACTAGCATTACATTCTTTCACTAACTGCAGTCTTTTATATCAATAGCAAGTGGTTTTACCTTTTGATGAAAATTGATTGAATAGGGGTTCTCAAGATGGTAATAAGATGGATCAATTGACTTATAAAGACAACATAATAGAATTTTTAATAACTCCACAACAACAAATGTCATTAAAAAGCTAAATTACAAGTTGAAGGTCTTCAAACTTTAATTGTCAAACATAACATTTTCTCTCCAAAACCTGCTTATCTGATACAGTGGACATTTCCAAGGGAGTAACAGATACATGTATGCATACTTGGCGATACTTTACATACAACCCAAAGCAATATAGTTAAGAATTACGTTTGTCGGGCTTAATTTACAGTAACAGTACCAGAGTTCTCTACAGCATAAGGTAACTGAAGGCTATCCTATTTTTTCATGTTATTCAGAACATTTAAGGTCTCTAATAACTGACTACTTTGCATATGGAGTACAGTTCTGACATTTTACAGGTTTTAGAAATGGAAAATTGTTGTCCCAAACATTACATAAGAAAAGAGAGAGAATACTTGAAAAATAACAGTAGTTACATAATTACAAATGTTTGTATGTTTACATAGCATACCTCTGAACCCGGAGGACACTGCAAGAATATTAACAGGACAGGAGTGTAATCAAGCAAGCATCCCACTGAAGGATTGAAGCAATGCCGAACATCTCAGTTGTAGGCTGTGCCACCACCTTCTAAGGTTTGGATACGCATCATAGGAGAAAAAGCCTTAGCTGGTGGGCAGGTCAGACTGAAAAAGTGCAATCATGCAGAACAAGACAAAGCAAACTTTGAAGTATACCATGTGCTGGAAAAAAATGGATGCCTTTTGAATTTTGTTTGGGGTTTTGCTGATCTTGGCAAGAGAAAGTTTCATAGGAAATGTTAAGCGTTTCTAATGGTCCTGTTCACTTCTTTTCTGAGACACCTGTTTGCCCTTTAATTTAATTTATTTAAAAATTCGTATAAAATTCAATTCATTTTGAAATCTGCTGCATCTGGGGAACTTGGGTTTACAGTTTCATCTCCTTTGCTCGTAGTGATTAAAAATGAAAAAAGCAAAATAAAACCACTTTTTTCATGGCTTCTTCCAGCAACGGTTCATTCACAATAAAGCGAATCCAGAAGCAATCCCATCTGCCAACCCACCCCAAGCCCTGACCGTTACTGAGGTCAGGGCCAGCGGGGTGCTGGAAGGGCTGTGCTTTAGACTGAGGTAAACGTTAAAACTCAATGTAATACTTCCCAAAACTTTAAATTCATACTTTTCACTAGGGAAAAAGAATAAAGGCAGCACCAGTTCATATGTAAAATGTCAATCATCCATCTTATACTTAAAATCCCTTATTTTTGTAAAGATGGAGCCACACAAGAAAAGTGTCTGACTTGTGGTTTATGTGCCGTCATTTTGCATGTTAGTCATCAAAGAAAAAATGTGCAACAGAATTAAAACTCCAATATATCAGAGCGCTTACAGTCTTCATTTAGACATTAATACCTATCTGATAAAGTATAAGACACAAAAAGTCAAACAACTAGTATGAAGAACTTATGTAATACAAGTTGCACCAATTTAAAAATATATATGATGTATAACTTCAAATTCATATTCCCAAATAATGCATATCTCTCACAGTATGTAAACAATATAAATATTTAAAAAGGTATATATATATAAACACATTAGTGATGCTTAGGATAAAGCCGAAAGCAGGCCAAGTAACCTTGCTATTTTTAACAGTTCTGTATATCCCGTCTTTGAGAATTAAGATGGGACCTTAAATTCAGCAGGGATGATGAAGTACCATTAAAAAAAGCAGCTGTCAGCTGCATCCTAGCAGGATGTGGATGACAAGGTGGAATACTGACTTTCCATGGTGAGAGAAGAGAGAAGAGTTACCAATTACAGTCCTCTTAGGTTCACTAAGGTATTTAGTGGGAAGGTATTTAGTCACCACCACAGAATGCAGTTTTGTGGCTCACTAATATTTCAAAAACTGCAAACAAATATACAATATTTACACATTTTACACAGAGCAAAGCTGTAGCCAGTAGTAAGGTTATTCTTGACATTTACTGAAGTTAACCAACCTGTCAGAAGTTCAGGGCTTTTTATATAAAAGATATTAATTTAACAAACATGAGTTCCTGTCCTGAAACTGCTACATCACTGTAAATATGGTTTTGATAAAACCAGTGTAAACATTAAGACTCAAGTCTTTACTGGAAAGTGACTGAAAGGCTGCAGTAGCCAAAAAATGTGGAACAAAGAATTCTATTTAAAATAAGTGTAGCTGTATAATCACACCACATGAGAACCTTGGGATGGCATGTTTACCGTCAAACAGAGTTCTTGGAAACATCTTTACCGAGACAGGAGCAGTGTGCTTCAGACGTGAACACAACTGAAAAAGCTCTGCTCCTCAGACAGTATGGCAACTTAAAGAAAATGCAGCAAGACCACGATCCTCCTGGTTTTAACAAGACAGCTCTTTGGAGTGGACGGCGTGAAACCAAATTACCTGTTTCCTCGGAGCTGTACTCCAATCTTTTCAAAGTAATTTAAGTAAGGTTTTAAATACAACCCATTTTCTCAGGGGTGTTCTTGAATATGTTTTTGGAGTACATAGAAATATGCCATTTCCTTGTTCTTCCCATAGCAGCAAACTGGCGAAGTCCATTCCATCTTCATCTCTCTTTCTGCCCAGATCTAATCCATCTGAATCCCTCTCGGAATCTTCCATCACGTTCCTCAGAGGCTTCCCATCCCATTGGCACTGACTTTTGTTTTCGGCGTTTCCTCGGAACCCTTAGACTGGTCACGGCGAAATGACAAACTATGAGTATTCCATAGATCACTGAAGAGTCATACAAATACCTTTAAATCTACAAATAAGCTCTGATATCCTCATTTTATATCACGTGGACATCCAAACCATAACTCTCTCCGGCGATTGTTAGGAAAACCCAAGAAAAAGGTTTCTGCTCATTAATGACTTAGTATTCATGAAGGAAAAAAGGTTTATATTCTGAGACAATGTGGCTTACCCTTCTTCACAACTACACAATAAACTATGTAATACTCATTTTAAGCAATTCATCTTAAATTAAACATCATAGAACTTACTGATGCTACTTGTGCGATTTGGGTACGTGGCTCTGAAATGGCCTTAGCAGGTTTATCCAAGATCTCTTCACCCTGAAAACACGAGTTAAGACATCTGCTTATACACTGCTGTGGAAATGCACGCCTCATCCAATGCTCATGACCTCTCACATATAATTACTGTGACTTACTGCAGTCTAGGCCTACAACACGCCATTAATAAAACAGAAGCCATCTGTTCGTTTTCAATCACAGAGCATAAAGAAGTGTCTCTTCTATCAGCTTTGCCGAGAAGTAAACTTGCAAAATATTTCTCAACAGAAAGGGAAGTACGCAGACAGAGCTCCTGTAGTCACCTATGGGATCTGTGACAACATGAAAAAGGAAACTTTGTCTCACTAATTTGTTTTTTAGGGAGCATGTCATGTAGTGCTGAAGTGAGAATACATGCATAGAAATGTACTATTTTAAACCTAGTAATATACGGATTTCACAGGGACAAATTATACTCTCAAATTAGCAACACGCAATTATACAAAATATACATCATTGCAAAAAACATACTGTAAGCTTGCACTGGCCAAGTCAATCATTACTTGCAGCTCCAGTTGATACAAGGTAACTACTGTTTTCTTACCTTTACTCCCTGAATGACAGGAGCTGGGTCGACCAGTACTTCCAAAGAGGGGGCTGCTGGTTTCTCGTTCACTGGGGGTTCAGTGCTCTCAGTGAGGGGAGGGCTTACTGTCTGTAAGAGAGCATTAGTCTTCTGCTTGAAACAAACTTCGCTAGAAAACAGCATTTACCAGCGTTTCAAGATTTCTCTTGCTTTGTGCATCGTTCACTATTGTGTGCATTCTTAACTTTGCAGTTTGGACTTTTTCATGGACTCTAAAGGTGTTAAGGAAATGAAAATTGTGAGTGTATCCAATTACTCAAAAAGCAAATGAGGTAGTTACTATACAGTACTGTACTTACAGTACGTATGTTTAATTATGTCTTACTAGGTTAACAGTGGTTTATTAAAACACAAACTGCAGTATGAATGTTAGTTATTACTGTTTCTTTTTTCATTTTTTAGTAAAATTAGGGGTGACTTTTTGGGGTCCGGAATGAATCCATTTGTTTTCCCCATAAGAAATAATGGAAATAAGTTTCTCTTTTTACGAATTTTCGCTATACGAAAGAATTTCTGGAACGGATTATGTTCGTAAAAAGAGGTATGGGCGTACTTCCTGAAACATTCCTCCAGCACTCTGGTCACATGATGATAACAGGAGTGTCCATCAGTGCCAACGAGGGGCTGGAAAACTGGTAACCAGGTGGGAGAAAGGCATTCAGTCTCTTGTAACCCTGCTTTCAAGCTTGATATTCTCCCACAGGCTTCAAAGAGCGCACGTTAAGTTGGTGAGGGCTCTCACCTCCAGCTTTGGCACCGGTGGGATGATGGGCGGTTTTGGCATGACGTCGGTCAGGTACATGGCACGAGACAGCAGCAGCAGGGAGGGAGGAACATTCTCCTGAAGGTGCAAGTCCAGCCACTGCATTGGGGACAGAAAACGACTGCAGAAAACCACTTTCCACTGCTGCCCAGGTGTGATGTTGAAGCCAATAGCCTACCTCTTTTCATATGGCCTGAAAGGCCCTCCTCTCACCTGTTGTAGTCTTTTTACGTAACAATTCAATGACAATGGTGAACCTGACCAAACCTCCATTCTTTGGAAGCATAAATTTCATATCAATATGACACTGTTCCGTGTTGCTTTGTATACTATTTACACCAATGTAGATTAGGAAATAGCTATTTAATATTCAATACCATTTGGCTAATATGGAGGGCATAAAACAACTGCAGAGATCTACATTACTCATTCTCCTCACAGCATCCGTTTATAGATTTTTAGTACCAATAGAACGCATCATTTTTACTCGTTTGATGTCCCTTTGTAGGAATCGTCTATAATTATAGAAAAGCGTTCTTCTGATGGGAATGAGATCACAGAAGTTAAGGTAAGGTACTAGTTGAAAATTCAACCTTTAGCCTTTACTGTCTTCCTTTAGTAAAACCTGGTGTCCAAACACCACACGAATAAGGGGAGGACTTGGACCTTAAAAGGCAACGACTGGGATTCCTTTGTACAGACACAGGGGTGGCGAAGGAGGTACCTGTTGCAGCTGTTGTCGCAGCTGATCCTCTGTCAGGCCCAGTGACCTCATGCCCCGACTCCGGCAGGCGGCCTGCAGCTCCGACACGCTCATGGCCGCCACGCCCTCTTTCACAATCATCTACACACACGGTGACACACAGGGATTACACAATATTCCTGCTGGCCAGGGCTCACGACTGGCTTTACACAAGACAAAAAAAGGTTGTGGAAAGACCAGACCTCGCAATGCACCACAAAGGACTGAGAGCTAGGCGTGAGGCTATTTGTGCTTCTGCAAGTACTAGCAGGCACTACGACACAGGTTTTGGGCTTTGTTCTGAAAACGCTTCAGTAAAATCTGTCCGAACAGAAAAAACAGATATCCCTCCAAATCGGCACATGACGTCAGACAAATTATAATGCAGTATTTAAAACAGGAAAGACAGAGTAAAAAAAAATGTTGGCAGTATTATAATAAGAATCTGAAGTATATCTGTTATAATAAACTGAAAAAATACCCTAACAGCAACAACCATATTCTCAAAAAATCCCTCCAAAATTAAATAAAGCCTCCAATTTTCTCAATGGTTAAAGCATCCAATGTTTGGTTTCAAAACTGCAATTAGATTAAAGGTCAGTTATTGCCCAACTCACTGAGAACAGCTTTAGTTTGACCAAAAAAAAGATTGAGGAAGTGAGGAAGGTCATTTTTGTTCCTTGAATCCTCCCTCTTCAACTGTAGGTAGAAACAGCTGAGTTCTGACTAGAGGCAAGAGTAAGGCACCGGTCTGTTTTTTGTTCCCCCTATAGTACAGATGGGGATACACTACAGATACACTCTAGAGACCCCTTGAGGCCGACGTGTTGGCCAGGCCAGCGCGCGCCCTCTTACTTCGTCGTCAGCCTTGACAGAGCGCAGCTTGAGCAGCAGCTGGAAGCGCAGCAGGTTGTTGGTGCCGATGGGCTGCAGCTCCAGCAGTTTGCACAGGGCCACCAGCTGGGGGCGCTCCAGGTGCTCCAGGGTCAGCTCGTCCTCAAACAGCTTCGAGAACCTCACGATGTCTTTGGTGGAGGGCTGCTCCCCTGTGTGACGCACCTGCGCATACACACACAGCCCTGTGAGCCAGGGACAAACGCCTACATAGCTTTTTACCGCCACACCTCGGAGACAGAGCTCGCCGAGTCTGGGATTGGTTGGTTATATTTTCACCGAATTTCAGTCGAAATCAGGGCATTTGTATTCTTGTGCCCCACTTAGACCTTATCTCAGGTTAACAACTTAAAACAACACACCTGAACCATTTCAGTTACAGTCAAGTTCCTCATTGTTAATTGTGTTATTGTGTTAATTGTGTTCCCCAGTGTTATTAAATAGCACAACATCACAGTGCTATTTATATAAAAGAAATTGGTATGCACTACACTATTGAGTCGTAAATTATATTTTTCTTGTATTAGATGGCATATCATTCCTTGTCAATGACCATTACCTTGTTTGGTTGCAAATATCTAATTGATTTAAGGGTCATCACATTCCATAAAAAGTTCCCTTGTAGAGCCATCTGAGTGACTCACATGGGTGCAGACTGAGCCTCGTGTCACAGGTTTGAGCCTGAGCCACGCCACTAGCCAGCTGTGGGATTCCCCAACCAGCGGTTCCCAACTGACTAAGCACTGCTGGGGGCAGGGTGGGCCTGGAGCCCCCTGAGGCCCGTGTGCAGGGCTGCATCACCTGTGATGTATTAAGAGGCAGGTGGCTCGAAGGTGGGCAGGTGGGAGGAGTCCGAGTGCACTTCTTCGTCACTCTGGTGTGAGCTGCAGCTGTGGCTGTGCAAACACACACCTGGCCAATTTCAAACAACTGGCAATCCTGCATATTAGCAAAAAATCGTTCCCCTTGAACCGGGCGTCAATACATCTGGAAATCTTTTCAATCACAGATGCGTTGCTTCCCGTTTTGTTAACGTACCTTCTGCACATAGGACGAGAATTTCTCCGTTTCGTCCGCAGTCTGGGCCTTGTTCCTTCTGGCCATCTCTGCAATGGTCTCCTGGAGGAACTTGGCCAACTCCAGCTTGGCAGCCAGTCCCTTCTTCTGTTTCTCCTCCTGAGAAGAGAACAGCGGTCTCTTAAACCTCAGATACACAGGATAGAGCAGGACCTTGTTACAGCAAGACACAGAGCACAATATCATTAAAGCATAAGGTCATTTTAAATGTTATGACAGCAATAACTGGAACCACTGACTTGTCATTTACCATCAGCAGCTTACCCGTTTCTTTCAGAGAATCTGACTTTATCATTTTCATTAAGTAGTTTAGTACATGTATGCTGTATTGAGAGGATACACAACACTGAAATTGCATGCTAAATTCCACGCAATAAACCATGCTTGCTAACAACCACGGAATACATCTATTGTTTTGGAGATCTGGGTCAGCAGTCGAATGATAGAGGCCTGGGGTACCTATTGAGTGTATTTTATTTCTAATGTTACATGGTCACATGACATGCTTAACTCCCTAAGAATGCAGGCTACAACCTGTTTCATTAGGTTTTGAGATCATATACTGTTACAGGTGACTGTTTCAAGAATTAGCAACCCAGTTCTCACAACTGTTTGTTTTTTCTGCCGTTACCTTATACAAGACAAAAACAACTCCAGGTCTTTCATTGCAGGTGTAAAATTACTTACTGGGATTGTGACTTACATCACAAATTAAATACTTAAATCCTTGGCTGTCAAAGCTCCTTAATCTTAACTTAATCTTTTTAGTTGTGTTTATCAGATCAGTTGCAGATTAAACATTTGTCCGAGTACACAAAGCCATATATTCCTGGCCAGGTATATCAAACTCCAGTGTTTTCTGGTTCGTGTTCTACTCGAGCTTTCAGCTACATCGCTGGTCTAATTATTTAATTAGCAGCACCAATGTTAATACTTCTAAGCAGGCTCAAACGTGTTTTATAGGTAGCTGTACTTATTGCGGTGCATTTTTTTCCCCAAAAATAAGAAAAATCTTATTGTATCCAATTAAGAAAATTCGGTTTGTTGTGTAATATGCAAACTGGACCAAAAACAACAGGACGCAAGGCTATGTAGGAATTTGCTTTTAGTTTTTGAAATGGGACTTTCCCCAACTGTGACTTTTGATTGCTTTTGTTCTTCATTTTTTTCAATTAAAATACCTTCTTGGACTCAGTCTCAAAGGTGGAGGGCAGCATCTCGGGGAAGAGCTTGAGAAACACGGGCAGCAGGAACTCCATGAAGGGCACGATGATGAACACGATGAAGGGCACGAGCCGGAAGAGGTCAGCGCACGTCCTCATCAGCTGAACGCACAGAGGACATTAACAACGTCAGTACAGTGGTCTTGGACAGTCTGACAGTTTCTTTGCATGTCTTGGGTCTTTCTTTAGTTGTATAAATTATATTTTACATGTCTCAATGTCTCATGGTGAAATACCTATTGAAAGTTAAACAGCTTTACTCTATTGTGCACAGGTGGTTTCATCATCATCATATTATTTATATAGCACTTTTTATCCCAAAGTTTTCCCAAAACACTTTTACACATACTCTTTAGGAGGGGAAACACTTCATCCACCACTGAAGTGCACCACCCAGCTGAGTGACGCACAAAACCCTTTATACAACAAAACCACTTTTTATTCTAAGAATGACAAAACAACAGGTTTTAAAATTCCTGTAACATTCCAGTGCGGGAGTCACCAACATTTGTTTGCAGGGTTCAGAATGTAGCAGGTTCACTGTAAGCTGTAAACAGATTTGCGCCCAGGAGAAGAGTTTAATTGATCCGATTAAGATTTAACTAGACCAATTTATTCCTGCTTCACAGCCTTAAGCTGCTGGGGATTCAGAGAGACACTCAATTCAGGACCCTGACATCTGTCGTTGGGAGCTCCTGTTCTAGCTGAAGACTTCAGCTTCATCTTGAGTAACCATCATGAGTAAAGTCTCAAAATTGGGCCTCGGTCTCTCTCTTCAAACACTGTTAATACATTTAAATTTATTCTATCCTGCGACATAGTGTGCAGGTATAAGAATAATGGTAACAGGCTAATGGTTCAGGCTGTTTTAGCATTTAATTTTAGCTTTTTTTTTGACAGGGTTTCTAAAAGCTTTGTTTCTTTTAAGGGATAATTGCTCTAAGAACATGTATGGACACACCTGCACTTTACACCTTCAACCACAACCTCAAATAAAGTCAGCAAGGAAAGCCTCTGGAGGACAAAGTAAATGTCACTGATTCAGCAGTGAGGCTCGATGGAAGTAGCCTCGCACGTCACTGGCTATCATCTTCCATGAGCCTGAAAGTGACTGACAAGGCCAATGATGGGGATGTGACATTGTCTACTGTGGAGAAACTGTTGTCCACACTTATCATGACAGAACACAACCTTGACCCAACAGCATGGAGACCAGGACAATTGGAGGTTCCATATTGCGCAACGTCCATCCACCCAATCAGCCATTGAGATATTCTAGGAGGGACACCACCTGCTAAATATCCTGCTGTTGGGGACTTGTTAGGAGTACTAAGACAGGAACAAGAACCCCAGACAACAGGTTTACACCACACCAGAAAATATGGGTAATCAATACTTGAGCACCCATGAGAGAAGTGGTCACTTCCTCCACTGCAGGAAAATCAAATTTGTCACCACACATGACTGTGCCATGACATTCAAACACCTGACTGCATTGCACACTTCTGCCCCAAGACAGAGAGCTGCTGAACTTCTACCAAACCAAATATTAGGCTAGAACCTGGCTTCAAAAGCTGAGCATACTATTTCAAGTTGCAGATGTAATTACATCTATTAGGAAATTCTGAGAATCCCTCACTGTAAAAGCTTAACTATAATAGCTTCTTCAGGACAAAATTCTACAATCTTCTTAGCAGTAACAGCCTGTGAAACTTTGGCCTGAAAGTGCAGCATTAAGGTTAGATTTTTCAGTGGACTTCATTAAAATCCTTTAATTGGCAGGCCCACCACCTACCCACCCAGCCATCTCCTAATGCTTTATCTAATACAGGGTCACGGGGAATTCAGAGCCTATTGCTACAAGCAACATTTGCAAGACAGGATACACCCTGGACAGGACACCAGTCCATCTCAGGCCACACACAGACACAAACACGTTCGCCAATTTTCCCAGCAGCCACTTCACCTACCAGTATGTCTTTGGACTGTGGGAGGACGCCAGAGCACCCAGAGGAAACCCCCACTAACACAGGGAGAACACACAACCCCATGCAGACAGCACCCCAGGAATTGAACCCAGCCAGCAATGCTAAAACACTGTGCCACCCTGTCGGCAGGCCAGGCTTTGTTCCATTTTTTAGCACGTGGCCGCCTTACCCTTCTCCTCTCTCTCCTGGTGAGCAGCTGCCCGTGCAGTAGCCTCCACACCATCCTGCCCGCAATCTTCGTGTCGATCCCCAAAAGCCGGAAGCCGTTATAGTAATGTCTGAGCTCGTCCAGCACCCTCTGCCGCAGGGACTTCCTCGCCACCGCTTTCTCTCTGCCGGCAGGGGAGGGCGAGACGGGGCCGGCGGCGGGCTTCGGGTCCTGTGCCACCGGGTCGGCGCCGTCCCCCCCCGGCCCTGCTTGCGTGCCCTGAAGCCAGCGGTGCGAGCCGTGCAGAGAGCGAGAGGGCAAGCAAGCAGACCTCACGGGAGGCAGAGCCCAGCAAATATACCCCCACTCGACGGGCCTTCTGGACAGGAACGACCTGCTCCCGTGCTCCAGGTGGTAGTGGAGACAGGCTGTGGGAGGCAGGGGATGGCAGCTGGGTCTTTGCGCGAGCAGGTAGGATCCCCTGCAAGCGGAGAGCACAGGTTAATGCCCTGGCATTCATTTCTAAAATCAGTACAGATTACAGAGCCCTGTTCCAATGATCCCTTGAGTATCTTGATGACTTGTCTTTCCTCTATAGGGTGCAAATGACCCTGAGCTGAGGTGATCATCGCTTACCACTAATGAAAAGCAACAAGGATTCGCATCAAGCTCTAGTCAATAAAGTATCTATCTCTTCATATTTCTGGCCTTCTCGTGAGCCAAACAAAAACATGTCACTCCTGAACAGCATTCTTCAGCTGTTAAATGGACCATTCAAGCCTGAGTGCAGCCTACAGCACTCCTCACATCACCTGCCGCGATTCCGTTAGGTAGTATGAAGTAATGTACGCATCCACTGTCACTCATGCCCAACAGTCGGATATGAAACTTGATGCCATTTTGTTTTTACTGCTGCAAGCTGGCCTTCTACATTATTACCTTCTCATTGTATCTGCTTCCAGACACTGTTGCAGAATGGAATTTTGTAAATGTGTAAAGCAATGCGTTTTAATTTTTGTGTAAAAAAAAAACAAGGATCCCATTAACCTGGGCCTCGAATTGCTGAAACTGGACGGAAGTCCTTCCAGACATATTCCCTGTAGTTGCCCGTTTATGTCAGACATTTATTGGGCGCTGCAGAACGTCAAGACATTTTTGACTGCTCTTCCAGTGTATTACTAGGCTTTACTGCAATACCAATCAGGCAACACGTTTACGGTCCACATGCATACACATGTGGTTCAAAGTGGTTCAGCTGTATCCAAGCACTTGCTGACAAAGGCCTTGAACGTCCTGCCTGCTGTCCGCTTTTAGAATAGCGTCCATAATAGTTGCTCTTCTTTGGAGGCTGCCGTTCTGTGATGAGATGTTCTGCCATAATTTTAAAAAATGATGTCAGAAGTGGGTGGGAAGATGGCGCTGTGTTCGTGTGCGTTTCCTCCGGTTGCTACAGTTTCGTCCCACAGTCCAAAGACATACTAGTAGGGTAAGTAGCTTCGGGGAAAATTGTCCCTGGTGTGAGTGCGCACGTGTCTGTATTTTTGTCTGTCTGCGATTGACTGGTATCCCATCCAGGCTGTGCCCTGCCTTGTGCCCGCTGCTTGCTGGGATAGGCTTCGGCACCCCTGCAACCCTGAACTGGATGAAGCTGTTAGAAAATGGCTGGACATGAAAGTTTAAATGGCCATGCCTGGCCCATGTACTGGAAGTAGCCAACACCTGCAATTATTCAGCTATTTCAATGTTTGATGTCAGTCCTTGTCACAACATATGTGTACATACTGTACAACTGTTAGGTACAAAGTAGCTTTTATCCAAATACAACATTATGATTGTTCCATACAGTTTTCACATTCTCCTTTAGTCACATTACAGAATACCTGTGAACTTGTTGTAAATACATTTTTAATTTAGCATTCTGTAGCCTCCGGGTAACAACTCACCTTGATCTGGCCACATTGAAAAGAGCCTGGGAGCCATAAGCAGCCATGATTTGTTCAGGGTCCAGATGGCTAAACTAAAAAAAAAATGACATTACATTACTCTCTCCTCTTCAAAAGACTGTTTTCAAATGCCTTGCGTTTCACAACACTACAGGTTTACTACATACTGTATATGAGAGACTTACATTACTCAAAAAGTTCAAAGGAAAACATTATACAAGAGGAATAACTGATATTTCTGAAAGATGCCAGATGAAAAAAAAAACAACTTTCACACTATATCCCTGATAGGTAGGGATTAGTTGGATGCTAAATCTGTTTAGTTTACAAAACGAAAAAACATGTATCTAAGAAAACGATAATGCACAGACGTATAACATCACAGCTACATTAACTGGCGTTTTGCTTATATAATCGCCCAATTGTTTACGTTTTTATCATCACACTTTGCTGCCCAGAATGGGCACAAATTTTGTTACAAAGGTAGATGTTTTGTTACAAAGTTACCGACGTTACTAAGGACTGCAACCCTAGAACTGGACCCCCACAACAAGAGTTTCGATTTTAATTACAGTAATCCCACGAACTCCTGCTCGGTCACAGCGCAACGGGCGCCTGGTACCTTGCAGGTCTTTCAAAAGCGGTGCTTATTTTGTAGCGAGCTGTCATCTTCAGTAACCCTGGCGGCTACACTTTTGCAGTGCTAAAACGAGCCCGAAACTTTTGAGAAAGGAACGCGGCCTGTCTCCATAAATAAGAACTTACCCGTCGTTAGGCACTATTGTTGCAAACTGCAGCTCAGTCGACAATTCTTTTCCAGCAGCGATATTTTTCACTCGTTAAAGCCGGTAAGTCCAGTAAATCCCCAGTCGAGCAGACCAGGCTTGACCGACAGGTTCAAACTACCAGCCAAGCTTTTCCACTTACTTATACAGGGAAAATGATACTCTGAGCACACAGCGGTTGGTTATATGCGAGGAAACACTCCCAAAACTTTCCACTGCCACGGAGAAGTTATTTTCTTCGGCCGGCACATCGGACGGACGAGTAGGATTTAGGTGAACTCAGACGCCCTGGCACAGCGGCGTCAACTTTCGTCTTTCGGTTTTGTCGGGGCTTGTGAAGGGGACAGGAACGCGACTCCATTCAAGGGGATCGCTCGGCCGGCAACGACGGAGGAAGAGACGACAAGAGAGAGATGGCAAGAATAATTCCAAACCCATTGACGACCGGTTTCTCAGGACCTAATCCAAACGCTTTCCAGCCGCTAACCGCAGCAGCAGCAGCAGCAGGGCCCAAGCATTTTCGGGAGGTTACTGCAGGTCAAACAAGCCCCACTGACGCTCTGATCAGGCGAGGAGGGAGCGCGTTGAGAAACGCCTCTCTACGCCAATGGCTGCTGCAGAAGCACGCCGATGCAATCCGTGACACCAAGCCAATGAGCTGTGTTAGGACAAACCCCAGGGTCTTCTCTAATCCTGAAACACCAAGAGCCATGCAGTCCCATAAAACCCATAATAAATACAGATCGGCTTCTGCATCAGAACGCAGTATTAAATAGTCATGATGTGAGTCCCTTACTCCAAAGATAATTCTGCTGGACCACCATACCGTTTTAATTTACAGATATGCGGGTCTTTCGGCAATTTTAGAAGGATAATCCAATAATCGTCTAAGAATTACTCCTATTTTCTTTTACAGTAAAAGCTTGGACCGCTTATATTCGTTTGTGGATAGGCTATACGTTTTTTTTTTACTTCAGAGGTGAATTAGGTGTAAGCAAACTCGTAATTATTCTTATTACAACCCTGTAACAAATGAAAAGACTAAATAAGAAGATTTAATATGAGTTTTTCTTATTTGTTTCTTAAACTTCAAAGTGAAATTGGCGTCAGCGCTTGAGAGATACACATCTTTAGTCCAGTATCGGTAGCTACTCATAACATTCATTGTTTTCGTTATTTCAATGTCCTTAGCCATAGAAAAAAATGTATTTTTCTATTTTCATATTTCCACATATTCATATTTTCACAGTCTCCACCAGTGCATATACTGTATAGAATAATTAATAGGGGTTAAAGAACATAAAAATGGAAAAACGACCTTCGACCCTAGTATATGGTGCGCCTATTCACGATCATGTGTTCTGTTTGACGTATTTAGCTGGGGTGTATGAAACAGGGGTTAAAAATGTTAAAAACACGAACGTCAGATTAACCTCAGTACCGAAAATAATTTCGTATTTTACCCTTTTTCCTCTAGAGGGCAGAAACCCACTACTATAATTCAGAGCCTTAAATATCAAAGCTTTTCGTAAATTATATAATATTCTGTTACAAATTACTTATCACTATAATAAAAGATTATGTACACCAATACCCTTGAAAAGGATTTACAGTGATATTTATAATTATAATTCTGAGTTGTCTTTCTGAACTTGGTTTACATCGTGTCCCTTGTCCAACCCCCTTGTCTTCTTGATAAAACGATCTTTAATAATGCAATACATACACTTTAACATAACACGAACGTATAGAAATAAACGAATCTTTGCAATTAGGTTGAGTTACTGATTCAGATCACATAAGCATTTTTGCTAACTTTCTCAAGTTATAAAACGACATCTGCAATTACTGGCAGTTGACACCTGCATCTCCAGAATGTAATACTGGTTAACGTATTTGAAGCTTTCTCTTCAGTGGAATCAGACTCCCCTTCATATAGTATAAATCGACATTTCCTTCAACGCATAGATTGTAAGTTTCTGTTCTGCTTCAATAAGACTACATTACCCGGCATGCTGTTAGCCCGGCCGAAGCGGCCAATCGGGCGGCGCTGATTTTGGCGCTGAGCAAGGAGACAGGGCCTGAAGCAGGGAGCTTTTGTTACAGCTAGAGGGAGAGAGGGAGACAGTAATATTAAAAATACATAGGAACCAGATTTAGCCAAATTCCGCTCCAACATCCCGCAAAAAAAGCGACCCTCTAACAAGTCTACGGCCACCAATTCAGCCATGGAACCGCGAAGTGACTGAAAATTGCCCCCAATTTTATCAATACATTGAGTTAGCAAGCGAAGAGGCCTGTACTTTAGTATTCTCCAATCTTTTGTTGTATCTGTTTTTTTTTATATTGCACCAGGAAGCTCAAATATTGGGTGTATTTGTTTAGAATGGAACACGCTGAAGGTACTGGCATTTTTCTTCTAATTATCATCCTTCTCTCTCTTTTTTTTTCAGTAGCGCTCTCGCATCTCCGCATTTAAGGCTGCCTTTTTTAAGTGATGGGTTGATTTTTTTTTCTGCTGTAGCGAGTGATGGAGGTGTAATCTGGCCAATTTGATTTAAAGGGGCAACGGCAGCCATATTGGTTTCTGCCTCCGCTGTTTAGTATTTTCTGCCTTCCGCATTTTTGCGTTTCCTTGCTGGGATTTAAACGTTAAGAGGGGGGCATTTGATTTTTTTTTTTGTTGCCGTGTCCGCGCGTGTGAACGTCGTTGCTGTTTTTGTTAATTAACACCAGTAAAATGTGGGCAGGAGCATGGGTACTGTCCACTGTGTGATAAATGGCACATCAAGTTTGACATGATGCATGTCTATGTCGAATTTTTTAACCAGCTTTTTTTTCCCTGTGTGTTTTGATTTTGGTATTTTAACTATGGGTTGGTTTGCGACCTTTAATGTACGGCAGTGTGCTGAAATCTCCTTATCCAGATCGATCTTAAGTTTAGTTCATTACATTGAGTTTTTACTCTATTCCAATGAGATTCTTAAGTACAGGTAGAGATAAACGATTCCCCCCTTTTCCCCGATTAAAGGATATTCGACGAACTTGACACACTCGTCACTTTACTGGACATCTTTATGGCTAGATTTTATTCAAAAAGTATGGAAAGCACCAAATATATGTTGATCATTTGTGATGGCTGAGGTTTACCTGTGTTTCTAAAGATGAATGGCTCCTTTTGTAATTTAAGCTGTTGGATGAAATGAATACTTTGTACCCACAAAATAACGCATTTAAAAAAAATAATATCAATATCTTATTATCGTGTGGCTGGATTTTCTCTGTTGGCTTTGATCGTATCAGAAACAGCCTGTGCGTGCAGTTTTCATTTGCTCTGCAAGGTCCGATGCTTTCTAACACGTTTAAGGTCGAAGCATTTAATGTATCTCGGGACAGAAACCCAGTGGATTTATCGTGAGGCCTGTAGGAACAGGACGGGTAACATCACCAACAGCGATGCTCTCTTTGTCCTCTAAGTCGTCTAATAATAATAAGAAGAAATACATTGCTGATTATTCTAAGCATATCCTGTTCGAACTTTTGTGCCTCAAGTTCTCTGGATTTTGTCGTATCGTCGTTTTCTTTTCCGATACACTTCCCAGCAACCAACTTTTGAGAACTGTTTTCAGAAGTTTTTTTGTTTGTTGGATTTGTGTGGCATACACCGATAGGAAGGAAAAACAAGAAAAAGATGTTTCGAAACCATAAAATAAGAAATTAAATTGCATAATCTTTATTGCATAAGAAATGTAGATATTAGAGATTGTAAATATTAAAATGGAGACATGCATATCTCATTTTTTTTAATATAGATTATGAGAACAAGTATCAATTTGCCCTCTTTATCATTATTTAGTGTGTAGTTTTGATTGTACATATATATTGCTATATCAGATATTTAACAGGATAACAATCCTTAATACCTTCACATACCAGGTGTTATATCTGAACTGAATATGTTATACCACAGTGTGAAGTCAGAAAAAGCAACTTTGTCTATATTTTCTGCATTACTATGATTATTCAGTTATTAGGTACTTAGGAAATAGGGAAACAATCTTCAGTAATGTTTTCCAACACAAGAACATCCATACTGTGGGACTAAATGTAGTGCACAAAATTAAAATAGGAATTGTAAAGTGATCTTTCCTCTATCAAGAAATTGTGATTTTTAGACCTCCCCAAAAATCGTAAAAAGATTTATTTTACCCCTCCCCAACACACACAGTTTTTCTTAGTATTCCAAGTAATGAATGAGTTCCTCAGTTTGGAGATACTCATCAATGGGATTTGGCATTTACCTCAAACTAAACACTACCCCTTTAGATCTCAGCAGTTGGGATTTGACTGAGGGGCTGCTTCGCATCCTAACGAACCTAAATTAATCAAAGCACAGATCTATCTGTCGACCGCCCCCCATTTAGCCCTTCTTAGCAGAATTCTTACATTTGGAAAATTTTAGGTATGCCTGCTATTAGTATAGCAAGTAGTTTCATAGTTCCAGTTCAGTGTTTGATTGTGTGATAAAAGTTTAACAGGTCTGCTTATACAGAGGTGCTGTTTTTCTCTGACGTGTTGGAGAAATGTTTTTTTTTTGTTTCTTCCGCTTAAACATTTTTTATTCCGATACATGCTTGTGAAATGAAAGCATTAGTGTTGAGTGTGTGAATGTGACTGCCAGACCTCTTTAGCTATAGGGGCAGGGCTGACAGCCTTCTCAGTATTGCATTTTCCCCTTTAGCAGCACAAAGATGTGAAATGATTGTATTAAATTCAGCTGAAGACTGATTACTTTCTTTAAAGAGCCGTTACAGGGTGAACCCACGAGTTTCTGTTGTTGAACTCTTGAACAAGTTATTCCCATCGAGCTAAGTGCATACCTCATATGATTGAAAATTTCCACTATTGACGTCATTTAAAAAGGAATAATTAAAAAAAGATGCTGAATAATGGCAGGCAGCTGGTAAAACCTGAAATGGATTCAAGTGCCGTGCACTGGGAGTCTTTGTTTTTCTGTTTAACACAGGACATGAAGTGTAGTTCATCTTTGTGCAAGTTGTCTTTTTCTGAACATACAGATCATGTCAGTTTTAGGGAGCTATTTTAGTGTCCAGCTGGTCTAGTGAATAAAATGCCTTTTGAAAGGGAAGCTGCGGAGGAATGGGTGAAGGTTAATTCCATGCCGAAATGCAAATAGAGAGAAAAAGATGCACCTTCTTTCTTCCACACACCTGAGGCAGGCTCCACTGCTATTGTGTCATGTTTTTTCTTCTTTCTCTTTCCTTTTCAGCACATAATTACCTTAGATGATGAGGCACTTGCTGAGATCCTGGCTGGTTGGTTGTTGTCTGAAATCTGTGGGTTTACTGGTTATCAGTTTGACTTCATTACACAGCTACCGTACGCGTGAAGTAAAGATTCTGATTTGTCATGGGGGAGAAACACAAGCCAGATGTACCCTCCTCGTGGATTGTAGAACCTGCATGCTGCCGTAAACACGGCAGAAATCACACATCAAAGCTGTGCCTTTTTACATGGAGGGTTGAATTTGGGAACTGAGATCACATCTTTTCAGGGTCTTTTTTTTGTGAAGAACGAGCATAGATCAGTAAGGGTGTGAGTCTCTAAACAAGCACACAAAGAAGATAGGCTGTATAAGGACACCTCTGTCATGCTTTGTCACACAGTGCTTTTATTGAAGCTAATAACAGCAGTGGACCTAGCTGATAAAAAAATAAATAAAGCTGAGATCAAATCAAAGAGTAATTTGGAATTACCGTGCAAGCATTGATCATTTGTTTTTATTTGTTTTTGTTTTTGTTTTGTGTATGTGTCAACAGCTTCTCGGTGAAGAAGTTTTAAAATAAGGCTCTGGTCCATTCCATACGAACTCAACCAACCTGGCACTGTGAGCCTCGCAGTCACAAGGTTTCACCCGACTTAACACCCTGTTTGTCAGTGTCTGCTATTCCTCAACCAGTATGGCACAAGTCGGAACCCTCAGGAGAAAGAAAAAGAACAGGGATCTAAACAACAATATATGGAAGAATGGGAAAAGCAGAGGCTACCCTGTCAAAAAAAACTGCCTACACAGAAATGATAAAATAGTTTTAAAATGATGTCAAAATTACCCTTTATGGTTTATGTGTAATGAGGATACGGATATCTTTGGTAGTGTGAGGGGTCCAAAATGGGTCACCTTTGACAACCTCTGTCTCCCTAATACTAGTCATTCTGATCCAGAAATCAGTCTAGCCATTTCTCCCATTGGTAAACATTTATAGAGACATTTATAGAAATGTTCATGAAAATCAAAGGGGTTGAGGTAAACAGGCAGTTGATTACAGATGGTATGGGTCTCCAATTATAGAGCAGGCGAATCCATTTCAGGTTTTTCTCACCACTATCTCTTGTACATCTGGTGCTGAAGATTTTGTTCTGGTCCTCTGATGTTGTGTCATTTTGTAGAGAGTTGTGGACTTCAAACAACATAAGACATTTGCGTCTCAGCGCCTGAAACCCTTACAGAAGAGCCAGCATCTTGTCAGATCTGAAATGAATCAAATCTCTGTAAAATGTAGAATTCGCTGTGCGGACTACAGAAAAGCCCCCAACCCTATTACTGTTACGTTTGGTAAACTAAACCTTGTGCATTTGTACATTGTAGTGGTGTTCTGTTCATTCAAGCTGGTGATAACATCTCCAGGAAAGTGGCACTTGAAGTACTTCAAAGTTGTGGCTGCCACTGCATCCGTTTTTTGGATAGCAAGCTTGTGCTGATCATGAACCACTGAACTTCTTGCACAAGAAATTCTTCATTTTGTACAAGGCAGCTGTGGTTGTGGGGTGTTTTTCCTTATGTAAGCAATGAAATCAGAAGTGCTTTTTATAGCATTCCTTCTGATATAACATTAGTGTTCTTTGGTTGACCTAATGTATCAATAGGTAAATTAAGTTGTTGGAATTGCAGATGTATTTCATGACATGATTACATTGGTTATTTCAGTGATACAGTACCTTCAAATTTATATGCAATCATTTTGTTACATTACACTGACAAACATAGTTATGTTATGATAAATTCAGCTGCCATTTAAGTAGGTTGAAAAATTACTTTGGGAGAAAAAACAAGTTGAGAATTTCTCCTCCTCTCTTTTTTGTCTGAGGTCGCAGTGACTTCCTTAGAGTTTCAAGCATTTCGTTCTTGTAAGAAACTATATGAGTAAGACTCTTCCCACCACAAAGTACAAAGGTGTTTTTAGTTTTACCCAAGCCTTTCATGTCTGGTCAAATGTCACCATGTGGTATTTTAAAACCTGTTAAGTGCAATTGTTCTTTATCTGCAATGGCAATTTCATACACTAAACACACATGATTTTGCAAGAGATAAGCAACATCCACTGCCGTTATCAGGCATGTATAGCCACGTGAAGCACTTTTTAAACATTATGCCCTTTAAGAAGTCTACTCTTTTGCAAATAACCATCCGGAAAACACTGCTTGAGCTGCTTGAAATTGTTGTAACTGAGCTGTTGGTGTTTTGCAGTAAGTGTTTAATAATCTCATACAGCACAGCTTAGCCCCTCACAACACTACTGTTCATTGGAGGTTTGTGTTTAATTAGTTCAGTGCATTTTGGCCTGTTTTCATAAAGCATTTTCCATCTAATCGTGATGCAAATATACCATCTTACAATGATACAGCAGCAAAAAAAAAAAATCACAGTGCCTATGGGCACTCATTTAGACGGTCCTGCTCTGAGTGGTTGACACTTGAAAGTTAATCGTGGTATTGCATTTAAAAAGGGAAAATGGGTGTACACAGTGTGGCAGAAAACATTCGTGGATAGGGAAGTATGTCTCCTCTCTTGATTCTTGAATCTTGGCAGTGATTCTTTGGAAGAAGTGGTGTTTAATAATAATAATAATAATAATAATAATA